TGCTTTCCCAGCAGGGTGTCAGCGAAGACGGATTTCAGCGAGAGCTGGATGCGCAGCTTGCTGCAATCCTAACCTTTTTTGCTCTCAAAGAGGCTGAGTTGCTTGCCAAAGTCTCGGAACTGGAACTTGATGTGCAGAGGTAGATGGCGGGATCGTTTGGGTGTTAGGATTGGACGATATGGTTACATTCACTGGCTTACGCTTGTCGCTCAGCCTTTAAAGTCCCTTTTGCAATGTAGCTTGGAGAAAATACCAAATCGTCAAGAAGCGTCAGCATTATCAAGCGTTACCGGGACCATATCAGGGAACCAGCAAGCCAACTGTGCGGCGGTTGCAGGAGTGTCCGGCATAAGGCTCCCCCCATCGGCTATGCCGGTCAGTCCTTCCACGCTTGATCTCGCACGGATGGTGAACAGCACCTCAATTGAGGTAGGGGGTAAGAAGTCCTGGAAACAGCACCTTCAGCGAGGCGCCTGATGTGCTTCGTTGGGCAAGAGTACTGTTGGTTTCTATCCTGGGACGCTTGCCGGTGATTGATGTTCACACGCGATGTAGCCTGAAGAATTGCTACAACGTGCTTGCTTACTAATGTGCCCTTGTGCTGTAATTATGGCCAGGAACATCGCAAGGTCCGAATTAAATTCTGGGATAATCCACCACGACACGTGTTTTCCCCAAATCTGCATGCACGACGAGTGAAGCTCATGGCGCGGTTCCAAGTAAGCACAGTGTTAATGATTGCGTCATGTGTTACTCATCGGTTATCCATGCATCACATGTTGTGTCCCTGATGTCCGGACAATACCGCGCATTGAGGAAAGACGTCATCAAATACAGGACTTGTATATCGGCTTACATGACTTGCGTGAGTATTTACACATAAACAAGGAGGGCTTTCGCAAGATTATCAAGAAGCACGACAAGGTATGAAGAGAGGGACTCCTGCGCGAATTCGGAACTCGGCTTTTCACGTCAAAGAGGCAGGTGTTACAAGACACCTTAGCTGACAATGCGTCGCAAAGGGCCTAAGTAACGTCCATAGGCACATCCGCGGGCTGTATGTAGTTGTACGTTACTTAGGAGTCCTGTAAGCGTGGTGTGTGACACTTAATCATACCACACTGAGATCGACATTATCAAGCTCGGGAGCCACGTTCACATTAGAATGGGGATTATTAGATACGCCTAAAACCCCGCTTTCCTATTATTAAACATGTCCACCAGTGTTTTTCAATTGCGTCTAGACACCCGATCACTGAGGCCATATTGTCAGTTAAGTGTTCCTTCGATGTGCATCTCATGCGCTTCTCATCGCGACACCTCTGAACTTCGAGTGAAAACCTAGCATCATTTATCATTTGTTAAATAGATTTAACCTTACGGTTGCTACTGCTTGCAAGTGGATGGGTTGATGAAAGTCTCAGTGCAGTGCAAACTTACGAAGACATAAACTGTGCCCATATCAATTGCATAAACCGGATAACGTCCTCAAGGGGATGTTTCCACGTGGATTAATGTCACGGAGTATGGCTTAATCCGTCGCATATGGAAACATCGCGCGGTGCGATCCCTGATATGGGTAAACACTGCATCCTTCCGAGTCCAGCAAGTTCGTTCTAAGCACGTTTTTAGGGCCGCGTTGGCTGGTCCATCATCATTCGTAGGACTTCGATGTGCAACAATTCTCGACCACGCCAGAAGGCCCTTGGGGCATATATACACGATGTTAATCTAGGAAATATCCGTTGTACATTGGACAATTACGGACAGGCGGTCGTTTGTTGACTTCACCTTCCGGGGTTGACCGAACTCTATGCTCTCAGGAAAGCAAGTAAGCGTCTATAAGTAAACGTTTACGAAAGTATTAGATGAATGGTTCAAGTTTACTAGGAGGGTGACAGGAGTGTGCATCTCCATTTGCGAGGCCACTGTCCAGCAGATCAGTAAAATTGTTACCTTAATCTTAGATTTTAAGGTATCTGGAACCATTTCTCGATTTAGTTCAAGGACTTGCCCTTACTTAGCTTGAGGGCCGAGCTCAGAAGCACGGAGCCAATGGGACCGTCCTTTTGACACCTAAAATGTCGCGGATCAAGGTATTTTTAATTAGCGCCAATCCGCCGGTAATGGCAAACCTTAATCCGCCGCATATGGAAACATCGCGCGGTTTAGGACGGATTAAGGTTTGCGCAATTAGTTCGAGATTTCCCCCAGTATCCGCGCGCTTCGCGGATTAAAATATAGGATAGCATGTTATAGAAAACGCGCATTCTTCCTACACTAAAAGCGCAAACTCGGTGGACTAGGGGGGCGGCTTTTCAAAGCCGAAAAGGGGCTCGGCCCCGGTGCAGCCACATGACCCCCGTTTGATTCGCAGGTCAGTCCATACGGCATAGAAATGCAAGCACAAGAACGCCTTTATGTCAAACTCGGAGCCATAGAAAGCTATCTCTGTCGCGCTCCGATTTATCTGGAATGTCTCCTTTGGCAGGTGAATGTAGAATAGATATAGCTTATACATTCAATCTTTTGCGGAGCGAGATATGTAACTTTATGTCAAACTCGGAGCCATGGAAAGCTATCTTCGCGCTCCGATTTATCTGGAATGTCTCCTTTGGCATTTCGATATAGAATGGATATAGCACTCAAACGCTATTTTTTGCGGGGCGAGATATGTAAGCCACTGACTGACCGACTGACAGCAGTGAGCCCGGGGGGCTCGGCCCCCCGAATGGCGCTTCGCGCCCGGGGCCTCGCCCAAAAAGATTTGCTATTTGATGGCCACCAAATATCAAATTGACAAACTTGGATTAACACGTTTTACGACGCCTCATATATAGCCTGATTGATAGGTTGGAAGGTTATCCTTTATAAAGGCTGTAGGTGTTCCTAGTTTTGTGGAAGCTTTGTGCTTCTTGTTCGGCATTATGCACCACACCGTGGGTGACGTTCAAAGGTTCTGCAAGGCCTTCGTGTTGATATTCGAGAATCTTTTAAATTTCCAGCAATGCAAAGAATGGCAAATGTTGTACTTCAATCCGCTTCTTAATCCAGACGTATGAAACATTCCGCGTGGATTACAAGATGTTAAGAACATTCTTAGCATTATTAAGCGTTCTTTAAATGATCTTTATTTTCTTAAGGAGATACCCACCGTGGGGGATAGGTCTGCTTGCGAAAAACAATTAGGTGGCTTTTAAGGAGTGCTCGTTCATTGATTTTACCCGCTGTAAGCAAGCCTATGTCGGCTTCCTCGAAGCCTGAAAAGGTGCGGGGGGGCCCTGCATCCATACAAGCTGGTAGCTTGGGTGGCACGTGTGACCATTGATGGGTAGTGCCAATGTGGTGGGAGCTGTGCTTGTTGCAGCAGTGCTGATGCTGTGGGAGCTATGCTTGTCAGAGCGTGGGAGGCAGGAAGCCGGGGCTCATAACCTGTTGGAGAGACGGTGTCTCTCTGGAACCTAGCAGACACGGCCAAGAGTCATTGGCCGTTACACGCTGTCTGGAGGTCCGCGACCTGCCACTGACAGCCCCTTGCTTGGGTGTAGACGTATGAGTCTGAGGTGCCGTTACCGGCGCACAGCAGGGGCTCGGCCAGCAAGTCCGCGGTCCAGGCCGAATGCTCAACGCTCAGCAGATACAATAGCAGCTTGCCAGCCTTCAGCGTGTTGGCTTTGCGGTCTGGTGCCGCAGCCATAACACACACGGAAAACAACGCTGTACAGCACCGTACACACGGAAAACAGCGCCCCTTCAGGCATTGGCCTGCCCATTCGGGCGCACACTTGGCGGCCCCCACAAACCCTAGCTCGACACACTTCCCTAAAGCCCTCATCACTTTCCGGTGCTGTCTGTGATGTTCATCCCTGAAGTGCCAGCGGCTTCAGCAATCCGTCTTTTCAGAATTCAACTATGAGATACGCAGCACCTTTTTAGATTAAATTTAGCCTGAGAGGCGTTGATGTGACTTTGACCTCGGTCAATGGAAGCAGCCAAACTTGTTTGTGCTCATACGATTTTATTGGCTACAGGCGAGATCTCTTGCAATAGAGAATGCAGTATATTACCAATAACGCGTTGAAGTTGGGCGAGATTATGTTTGGTCCGTTACACACACATACTGCCACACGGACATGGGCAATCCTACAGGGCGCCTCCCTGGGTGCTTTGCGCTGGGGCCCCGCCCAAATAAACGCGAATGTTTTGCAATACCTGCTTCCACTATAGTGCAACGACTGCTCTTCGACGCGCTTGACCGTTGACCGTAGCAAGGACCCAAATCTATATATATCTAAACTTTAATCTGTTCAGAGAGTGTGCAACAATAAGTGGATGGGCCTTCATACACCACTGTAGCTCCATATGTAAGTTTATGTAGGCAGTTAACTTGGCGACCTAGGCCATCCTGATCACTTTCTCGTTGTTATGTGTTTGTGAGGCGCTATCTCACTGGAACCTAGCAGACACGGCCAAGAGTCATTGGCCGTTACACGCAGTCTGGAGGTCCGCGACCTGCCACCGACAGCCCCTTTGCCTAGGCGTAAACGTGTGAATGTGAGGTGCTGTTATCGATAAACAGCAGAGCCTTTTAAAGGCTTGGAAAGCCTATCCTGATGGACGAGCTGGCAGTACCCTAGGACCTGCCAGCCGTTGCTCACAGAAGTTTAACGGGCGGCCTTAAACAGGCCACAGCTGTTACTCACAACAGCCTGACATGTTACCTAAACAGGCGACACGACATCACTTCGCACCAACATTATTACTATAGTTTGATTGTGCTATCTGCTAGAGCAACATACTTTTTTACTCTAGCTTGAAGTTGAAAGGCTAGTTTAGAGGCGATTGCATAACCTTTGAAGTCCACGTTGCAGATTCTACCTCAGTGTTATGCATGCTGTCGTTTCGGGTGTAACCATGGACTGCCTTGAATGCATGCTTAGTGTGAACCTGTTTTATGTACCGCATGGAAGAGCTGCATCGTCTACTAGCAGTACTGTAGAATGCCCTGCACCACATGTGTGCAGCAGACTATGGCCATGGAGGACTTCAGCCCACAGGTCAATTATAACAAGTATTTACACCATTACTGTTGCCACTTTCAGTTGACACGCTCCGTGGACCTTCGTGCATGCTGGTGGCCGAATGTGGAAGTGCATCTGACGCCTGACACCAAGCAGCAGGAGCTCAACCGTGTTGTATCAGCATTGACCGACCACTACGCAGTGCTGTACATGGGGTGAGTGTATGCAATACGTACGTTGCCTTGCAGATGGCACCTTACAGATTATGAAATATGCTGATATCATACAGATGGGGTGCATACAATGTGTCGATTGAATCCGAGTTCAGGTGTGTACATGTCCCTGGCTTCTTTGCACTTGATCACACATCTAGGGGTGATGTGGCTAAAGCCGACGAGCAATTATCCCGGGGCCTGCGCGAGCACATCACAGTGGAGCGAAATACTGTGTGGCGAGACATGGCGGCGATGGAGCGCAAATATGCTGCAGTAACAGTAAAGCAAGCGACAGCTCCATTGGGTTTCAGGGCCAAGTAAGTCATCAGTTGTGTTCGGTCTATCATTTTGATCGTGGGCTCTCCATTGGGTTAGTAGTGGCCTGTGGACTGCATAATAGGAGCAAATCATAAATTGGTGGCTACAGCATCCAGCTATTGGTTTGCAAGTACCAAGCGTTGTCGTGTCGTGGTTGTATCCTTAGCTTGATTAGCCCAGTAAGCGGACACTAGTTCTAAAGTTTGCTTTTACTCCATTAACATATCTCAGGGCGAAAGGGTTTCATGTGCTTTTTCAATACACGTTTTTCTGTTTATAATTGTGTTTGGGTTCGTGGACTCCTTGAGTCTTCAAGCTTTGCAACCAAATCAGGACTAATACTCCTCTCTTGGCACCTTCCGTTCCATGGTGATCTGTAGCGGCCATGGGGGCCATGTGCGTTGGGTCAAGCTGGCAGCTTGCTGTATGGTGTTTGCAGTCCTGTTGAATACGGAGCTGTGGCAAGGCCCAGAGAATCGTCCAAGGAACAACTGCATGGCGTTACTAGTCTTTACGTCTATGCTTTGGTCACTTGAGGTACGGCTTTGTCATTGTGCGAGTTACGAAGAAACGGAAGCTGTTATTGGACATTACAAGCATTTTGGGGTCCAGGGCCATCTGCTTCCATAGCGTATAAAGCTCCGCATTGAGCGCTGGAGCTACCGTGCTGCCCTAGGTGAGGGTAAAATTAGCGAATGCCGCTGTGCCGTAGTATCTGGCCGTAGAAAAGCCCTTTCTAGATGCTTGTAAGGCACTTACGTGCTTCTGTATCGAGGTTCATGTGCCATACCAAACGACAATAACTTATTTACGCCTCCTGAAGCGGTCGGTCTCAGGCTTATGACCATACCAGCCTGTGATTACGTTCTACCTATGGCAGTGGATGGTTTAGTTCATGTATGGTCGTATCACTGGTTGGCATACGTCTAGTCCTTTCTGTTTTTGTTTTTCCATGCAAGGAAAAGATTCAGCCTCGCACCAAACATGCAAAGGACCGCCATGATGAGACATTCCGTCCCGATGGCAGCTGCTTGCGGGTCCATAGGGTTGACACGACGACCTAGTGTTTCGGTATCAAGTATGGTAGCTGGCCTCTCGAGATGCCGGTGGTCCGCTTTGGTGCATGGTGTCGTCAGTAGTGACCACACCTTACTGTATGACAGCAACTTCACATGCCGGCTTGCGAATGGCATCCATCAGGTTTGACCCTTGGGTTAAAATTATCATCATCTTTAACGCTCCTAACCAATGATGTGGCGAGTGGTTTCATATGGTGAACGTGGCATGGCGTTCCTCGGATGAATTAAGAGCTCAATCCCAGCCATGTGGTATGTATGCATAAGGAAGGTTTAGTACGAGTTCAGCGGATCTGACATAGGAGCAGACTGCTAGCAATTTCAACCAACCTGGATAATGCTTCGATTTTTTCGGGATTTGGTGAGCCTACAGATACACAGAAAAGTGTGTGCCTATGTTCCACCTTGAGTTACGTTACCCTTAAGTGTGAAGTAGCCTACACAAATTGGGGGCCCGTGCCCCAGACAAGAGCTGACCGGTAGATTTGGAATAGGAAAACGGTCTTCATTCCCATGGAATCCTGGAATCCTTTTCATTGCGTGCTCTGTTGGAATCAGGGGGGACATAACGTTGAGGTTATGCGTGCAACTACCTAGCTTCAATGTTATCTTTAAAAGCGGAAAATGGACTACTTCCTTTAGACGTAGCGAAGGAACGAATGAGTAGATGCTAATGGACTGGGGATAGCTGGCCATGTGTGCTTGGCATGTATGTGTGTGGGCCCCAGACTTATGTGAAGAGTAGGTAGAGCCAGCTGGCCGTGCACTATTACTGCTGCACCTGGTGAGGCGATCAGGGCAGTCAAGACTCCCACACCACCCAGACCAGACAATGCAAGTGTGTCCTCCGGTGTCTTGTCCCCTAGATAGAGACAGCGGAAAGCGAACCCAAGGCCTCGGGAAGAGAAGGCTTAGGACCAATCCGCAACCAGGGGGAAAATTATTATGATGCTGGCAGAGCACCTTTCCTAAGACGATATGTGTGCCTTCATATCTGCAGCTACTACATTCCTCCCTCCCTGATGGGATCCACCACAGTACGGCCACACTAAGATAGACTTAAGGGACTTCCCGAGTCCGAGTCTTTCACTAAAGAAGATAACAAAACACTATCGCTTTGCAGTTTACCTACCAAGTGAAAATTTTTGCAGTGTTGGACCCTGGCAATCCTTCATCACGCACATCAAATGAATATTCATGAACCTGAATGGATTTCGCATCCATACTGATTCTGCATTGGATGTTTGGCTACACTTTCACTCTGAATTTCGTTGGTCAGGTACAACGAGAATAGAACACTTGCAGTTTTACAAGAATTGTTGTAATCATCGTGTTTTTCTTTGTTTCCCTGATCTTGTGTACCTCATCCCCTGTAACAGCCTACGATGGAACAGCTGATCATAAGCACCAGTGGACGGCGTCACACATAACCCGGCTGACTGCTTACTGCCCTCAAATCCAGTAAGAGACTATCACGGGCCAGCAAGACACAACCTTCCCTAAATCCATCATCGAAGCAACCCCGAGCGCTAGGTGGCTCCCGAAATAACGACTAAATGACTTCGAACCGAATGACTGAGTGACATGAGGGACCAGGTAGAGATGCAAAAGTCAGATCGGTTTGGCAAGGAAAGGCGTAAGATGCAACTCAGCCTCATGGAAGCATCCCCCTCATGCTACGGAGATGACATAAAGGGAGATCAGGGCCATAAAGGAAAAAGGATGGCGGGGCAGGTAGCTTTTTGGATACGACTTGGCCAGAAATCTGTAGGAAAGGTAAATTAGCTGGCACGGTGTAACCCTTCCTCAACCTCATTGAGGAGAGCGGGCTTCCATGGTTCATCTGCTCTGCCAAGCTTTTTCGTTCCCAGTCTTGAAGCAGAGGCATGCCTGTGCGGTCCCATCTGGGCCCAATTTCATCACGTCAGCGGCCCAGTTCTTCTCCTCTTTCATAGAATTGAGCTTCTTGACGCTCTCCCTCCTCTGCCCTCTCCTCTTGGCCGCCACTACAACTGCTGAGCCCGTCACCCTCCCACCTTGGGACAGAGCTAAGCTATATGGGCCCGCTGTACCCATCCCTTGCTTTCGACATGAAGGAGCAACACGTTTGTGTCCTTCCTTTCCCATCCTCTGGACGGCATCCCCGCCCGCCAACCCCTGCCGTCCCAGGCCCTAGCCACTGCTGGAGAAAACCTTTTCCCGTGTTCTACTCAAACTCTACCCCCAACCGTTCCGCATGGCACTGTGTTGTGATCCACACCTGTTCCGAGCAATGCAGGCTTCCCCCAACGATTGGCATCAACAGGCGGACGCAAAAAGTGTAGAAATCCAATACCGCCTGGACACATGCATATAACAATGGGGGTGCTGGCGCCACTGCTGCTGGCCCCTCCATCATAACACAACGCGGCCTTGCTCTTTTCCTAAAAGCACTTTGGCCGTTAGCAAGTGTTGGGGAAGGGGATGTGCGAAAGACATCTTGCAGCTAGAAATCCAGATCTTGCTTCGTGTGGGCATGCATCCTTATTGTTGGTGTGCCGTAATCAATCAAGGGCGTTAAGCTAGTCCAGCCGAAGGACAGCCTGGATGGGAGCTCTGTTTATACCTGGTGTTTGGTGTGACAGGAGAACCTTGTGGCCTGGTGGCAGCCCATGACCCACCCCGAGCACAGGCGACAACGTGGTAGAACATGGTACAATTAATTTTTACTCATCAGGCGTTTCTGGGGTTGAGGTATGCAGCATGTATGGGACCAGGTATGGGACCCCTAAACATTTCGCAGGCTTCATAATCTCCAGGGAAGCCAGCCTCGGTAAACTTGCCCGCAATATTGAGGACAGAGGACAGTTTAAATGTTGTGGCTGTCATTCGTTGAGGATGTGGATTTCATAACTTTGTTGCGCAGAAAGAGTCCTGTCGGCCTATTTCTGGACACGGCGGGTTTCCATTACTGGGCACAGCTTCCCCCACTTATGTTGTATCTCGCTAGAGTTATGTCAAACAGTTCTCAACATACAATGAGGGTTTTCTGGGTGAGCCTCATATCAGTAAGGCACAAGAGGTTCCATTGTGACTAAGAAGACTCAGGGTTGCACAATACGTTCAAATCTGCTTAGAAATACGCGTATTATATGCTTAAATACGTAATTCGCGTATTTTTGGGCCTAAATACGCCCAAAATACGGTGCCGGGCTGATATGCCGCAAAGGGCTACGTACTGCTGTACTGTAATGAATTTCAATACACAATGTGACTATATATATTTTTAATACTATAAAGAATTTGTGACCTGCCCTATAAGAGTTATCCTCGTCTAGACCATGAAGCCAGGTGACGAGTTGAAGCACGTCACTGTTGTGGAGGACACAAAACTAAACAAGCAATACAAGTAAGCAATACAAGTATGTATTTCTAAGCAGATTTTAACGTATTGTGCAACCCTGATTCAATGTGGCGGCAGGCATGAATGACTTGTCTCTAACAGGGCGGGAGCATGGTGGGATTGTTTGTCTTCCACATGGTGGAGGCATTTCGATTCTTCCTCGTAACATGCTGCATAGTACGGCCTGGCTGGCTGGGTACTGTGATGCTAGCGTAGTCAAAGTGATGGTGAAGATCTAAAGAACTTATTACTAGTTTGATTTGATATTCACTATACACACGTTATAACTTTTGCTCATTACCACACCTGAGCGCGCACGCACAAGAGGGCACCCGCAGCGTTAAGCGTATTATACGCAGGACACAGCGTTAAGCGTATTATACGTGCGTATTGAGTACGTATTGCCTCCCAAAAATTACGTATTTTTAAAAATACGTCTCGTATTATACGTATCGTATGGTACGTACAGTGCAACCCTGAGAAGACTTACATCCGGTTGTTCAGTACAGCTGCAGGGACGCAGCCATGTAGCATTTGGTTGAGTCCCCCACTTGGGTCGGGCTCCCTCGGGCCTTCACGCCATCCATCGGATGAGCACCGATGAATGGTAATGGTCTTTGTACGAGTCCAAGTTTTTCCCTGAGGTGCTTTGGGGCCACCAGCAGCATAGTCAACGGCCATGGGGGCAAGAGTTGGGCAGCTGCTGCTGATTTGTTAGTGCAAATCCTCTAGAAGACAGGTCAGGCATTCCTTGGTACGTGGTTGGAATAGCTATGCATGAGGCTTCCATGTGTTAAAGCCCTAGCACCGTCGAAAGAGCATAAAGACTCCTTGGAGAGGACCAACGTGTATTTACGGTAATCTGCATGTATGCCATAATTGCTGAAAATGTTGCACAGCTTGGAAGTCGGGTTGGGGAGTGCACGGTTGATGACAGGCATCTTACAGCAAGTCATGGGAATAAGGAGGATGGTAGATGTCTAAGTTGATCCTTGCCTTTGACGGTAGGTATCCTATCTGAGCCATTCATTGCCAGGCTAACGGAACAAGAAAACGGAAATGCAGTGCACATGCATTGCCCATCTGCGCTCGTCCAGGAGCAAGCGACCTTGGAGATTATTGTTTAGTGTCAGGCTGGGAGCATGGATTACTGTGGTGCATTTTAAAGGTTACAACGTGCTAGGAGCTTGAGCTCTTCAAGGAACGTTGCCACAACACACGCGGGAAATTTCATGCTTTCAAAATACGCTGGCTAGCAGCGTGATACGTGCACCTACGGAAGGTCATGTTGCCGCTGCTGCACATTGGCACCGATTGTGTCCTATTCAATAATTCTTCAGTAAGGTATGCTGTCTCTGGTACCCCTTTACCGCTGGTATGGGCAACGCATTAGCCAGTTTTCAGGATGTTCCGGACTTCTATGGGTTCTGAACTAGGCGCTGTAGTCACGTCTAGAGCCAGCCGTACCTTGTAAGGTCCCACCATGACGTGTGCATGGGTGCGCAGTCCACTGCACATGCATGATATATATTTACCACAGTAAACGTTCATAGGAAGCTCAATGCAGGAAACACGGGTCATATAATTGATTGCCCATCGCACTCCACGAGGCGCAGCACTTTGACAATGGCATTTTGGGGCGAGGCCCGGGCGCGAAGCGCCTTTCGGGGGGCCTAGCTACCTAGGTTCACTGCTATCAATCCGTTTGTCTGTTTGTCCGTCTTTTTGTGAGGGGCTTACATATTTTGCTCCGCATAAAATAGCGTGCAATAGCTACATCAAATCTACATCGATTTCCAAAGGATTCAGATAAACCGGAGCGCAAGGATAGCTTTCCAGGGTGTGGTAATTTTACATATCTCGCTCCGCTAAACTAAAGATTGTATGTAAAAGATACTTCAATTTTTTATCGATTGGCCAAAGGAGAAAATTCAGTAAATCGGAGCGCGACGATAGCTTTCCATGGCTTCGAGTTTGACTTCCCCTCACCTCGCAGCCCTTACCTCTGACGTCGCTGCATGTCCCGTCCATCATAGATTCATAAGTAAACGGCATGATCCTTTATGGGTTGGTTCCTTTATGATCGGCAACTTTAGACCGACCCATGGCAACGCTCTAAGCACCTCCCTCCTGGCGTCTCGCTCGCGCCTGCTTTTATTTTATTGTTGTCCTTCTTATTCTCTTCTTCACTCCTTCAATACAAGTTGAACATAATAACAACATTTCGAGGGTTCCGACAAGCCCTCGTAACTTAACTTCATGAAAACGAAGTATGCCTTTCCGACACAGCTTCCAGCTTCCTTCTGCCTTTCAGCTTTGCCTATGCATTCCGACTGCAAAATATGCAATTGGAACGATCCTCGAATTCGTTCTGGCTGGGAGCACAACCATTGGTCCATAAAGCACGGGCACTTTGGCGCGCCTTGAACTGCGAGCCGGCCGACTGAAGGGCCGGCGCCGAACATGGATGCAACGGTAGTACCACCTACGTATCGGGCAGTCCTGACTCATGGATTTGGCGCAGCAGCGGCAACACACGTTGCCGCAATGACACTCCTGCTTTGTGTGTATGTCATTCTACGGATCGCCGCATCACGAGAAGGCTAACTGTTCTGTCAATAATGATCATGCTATGGCGGCTGCGTGCTTACGACAATCCAGACAGGTCTACGCCGCCGTAGCAAGTCTGCCGACCTTTATTGTTTGAGATTTTCAGGCAGCTGGCCGACCTCTCACACCTATCCACAGTAACAAGTTTGTACTCCAAACGTGACGGCGTTCTTGTGCTTGCAGTCCTATGCCGTACGGACTGCCCTGCAAATTATACAGGGGTCAAATGGCTGCACCGGGGCGAGCCCCTTTTCGGCTTTGACAAGCTGTGTCGGCTTCCTCGAAGCCAGGAAAAGGGCGCGGCCCCCCTGCACCCGTACAGGCCGGTAGCTAGGGGGTCACGTGTCACAATTGATGGGTAGTGCCAATGTGGTGGGAGCTGTGCTTGTTGCAGCAGTGCGGATGCTGTTGGAGCTATGCTTTTACGGGGCGACACGGCACCCCTTCACACCAACACGCCCCCTCGAGTTGTACCAGGGACCTGACTGCAAACTGCCAGCACTGACGAGCTCGCTCAGCGGCCAAGTCCGCGGTCTAGGCCGGCCGGTCCAGGCCAGACACAATCGCAGCTTGCCAGCCTTCAGCATATTGGCTTTGCGGTCTGGTGCCACAGCCCACGGAAAACAGTGCTGTACAGCTACGTACACACTGCCTATGGTGCCCCTTCAGGCATTGACCTGCCCAATCGGGCGCGCACTTGGCGCCCCCCTCAAAGCCTAGCTCGACACACTTCCCTAAAGCCTGCAGCACTTTCCGGTGCTGTCTGTGATGTTTATCCCCGAAGCGCCAGCGGCTTCAACAATCCGCCCCGCAGCCGCGAGCTTCATCATGGCACAATGCAAGTGTTCAGAGGCCCCGAGCATTGGCCAAAGTAATTGTACAAACGAGCAGCTTGCGTATTTCATAGAGAAATGGAAGCAAATTTGCCGGCCTGCTGGTGGCAAGTCGGAATGCCCGTGTGGGCAAAAGGTAACGCAAGCTGGGTGTTCGAGTTATCATACACCGTCATCTCAGAAATTCAACTATGAGATTCGCAGCACCTTTTGAGATTTCTGAGAGGCGTTGATGTGACTTTGACCTTGGTCAATGGAGGCAGCCATTGGCGAGATACCTTGCAATAGAGAATGCATTATATCACCAATAACGCGTTTCAGCCGGGCGAGATATTATTTTTGGTGTGTTTTGGTGTACACACACACGGCCACATGGACATGGGCAATTCTACTACCTGGCGGGGCCTCGCTGGGCGCTTCGCGCTGAGGCCGCCCAAAAAGCCGGCCCTCTAGTTTTCCAATTACATGTCATATTGTTTTCGGCTGCCGCACTGGTGTGACAGATTACAACGCTGTTGGACAAAAACAGTACCACAAAGTCCATGTTCAAACGAAAGCCGACCTTAACAGCTCCCAACCCAACGCGCCGTAACCTTTCCTGCTTAAACCGTCTGTCAGGTGCAGACCACTGGACACTGCAGCGGTTTTTGGCCACGGGCTCGTGGGTTTGTGGCTCAGTGCCTGTATAAACAAGAGCCGTCGAGGGGTCATGCTCAGGGCTCTGACCCGTCATCTGCGGGAGCCTTTACTTTCAGAAAACAGTTTTCTTCGCAGTTTTATGATGCCAATCAGCGGCAAGAGCCGGCCTCATTTTGCTGCTCAACTCCGTCGGTAGTCAGCATGCCTCAAAAGCCTGAACTAATGGTGGGCAGCCTTAGGAATTAGCTACAGCCTTGGTTTTGCATGTCGAAGCAGCATTGCTAGGTGTGGTTTTGACCTCTTCCACGGCATAGTCCATTGGATTTTGGAGATTCCAAGCTCGGCACATTGAAGAGGGACTTGGGCAGCACGTGATGCATAACCTACACACCATAAATGTGGCACTTGTCCTCACAACGACCATGTCGTGATAGCCATCCAGGTACCTCGTGGACATTACCTCCTGACGCGGCCGATAGCTGTCACGACACTTGCCCATCATGTTTCCGTGAGTAGTTGCCTCAAGTATCATACGGACGAAGACGTAACTGCAAGCAGGAAAGAGTGTGCATGCTTGCATTGAAGGAGGCCGAATGCAACTTTGGGCACTTATTGACCGTATGTTAGGCAGAAGCCGCTGTGGAAACCTGTCAGTATTGACATTATCAACTCGCGCTTCAACCGATTTCGCTCTCGGCAAATTTACAGGAAACCTACAGTTCACACTGTCCTTGATTATTTCCAGACGATGGGGGTTGTTTGTTGTTGTTTGTTATAGGGTGGTTAAGCTTCACCAGTGACCTCGTTCCCGAGGCAATTCCCTGCTCTCCCCTGCTAGAGGGGCACCCAAATCACCCCATCCGACTTCAGAGTGTACACTTTGGGTTCGGCAACTCACCACCAGCATCCAACCAAATCCAGCGGATGAACGGCGCCTCAACTTAGTTCCCGGTCAGCTCGCAAATTGATTTTATCACGTCCTACACCGTCCACAAGATGGGGGGCCACCTCTCATATCATCATTCCTCACACACCCGAGGGGTTGGCAGGCGGATTTGAATCCGGATACTCCGGGAGCAGAAGTCAGGCCTTAACCTCTGCCAGGCACCTGCCTTAACCTCTGTCCTTTATTGTCTGTAAAAGTGTGACCAGTATGGTTAAATAGCAATGTTGCTGATAATACTGCATACACCCCAATGTCCTTCGCATGGTATTGGCACATTGGTGACCTGCATCTTTATCCTTTTGCTTGTTGCTTATTTATTTGTTGCTGTGGATTATGTTAATGCAGGCCGTGCCGCTGTTTGTAACCAGCATGGCTCTCCCGCTGCTTATTGTAGTCACGGGCGTGCTTGTAGATCGCCCAGCTGATGGCCCACCAAAACGTCTCACACCGCAACAGGCCGCACCAGCTATCTTCCACGCAATGTTTTCACAGGTAGGCTGAGTTGTGTACTTCTGTAGCACAGCATGGCCTTCATCACGAAGGATATGGCATTAGCTGAAGCTATGGTCCAGGCTGGCCTGCACCATCAGATGGGTCATCAGGCGTCGATCACATAAGGCAAGGCACCAGGGGCGCCGAGAATCTTCCCCGAACCTGATATATGAACTATTAGTAGGGTTGGCACGGGTACTATATTAGAAAAGAGTACTATACTATAATAGTACTATGCATAGTACTACATAGTATGCAGGGCTCTAAACTGGCACTAGTTTACAACGCTCGTACCGCGTTCGTACATAGTAAAATAATATAGTAAAAATAGTACTAGATAGTACTAGATTTGGGTTTGGATAGTGTCAAGTATTAGTTGGACCAAGTCGAGATCTGCAGTCAAGCTGTATTTTGAAGGGCTACAGCCGCGTCTTCGAGCTGTGCTACGTAGTTTTGATGAATAATGTCAAGGGAATCCAGTATAAAGAATGACAAGGCGATCAGAGGCTTGCAGGAGCAGGAAGCACAGCAGCAGCAGCAGCAGGGCACCCAGGGAAACGTACATCCCTAACACGCAGATTGATGACTGAGCGATGATAGATTGAGCTGCTGCAGTTTGCCGAATTGGAGGGTTACGTACTGGGCCGTTGTAGTGCAGGAACTTCACTAGTATGGCGTCCGTGTGTTGTCTTGTGAACACTGGGTCTTCTGTCTGTGATTATGTCTTTATATGCCATAACACGCCTTGAGACATGGGGTTTGGGGTCCACCCACCGGGCACTGAACTAACAAAAAGTGATCTGGATGACCGCAGCGATCTGCTTTCTAATGTCTAAGTACATATTTAGAAAGAACAAAAGATGACCTTTCCAACGGTGTAATTTTCAGGTACAACGGTTGGCCGTACACCCCCCTTCTACTGGGAGCGTGTACCTGCCTAGTAATAGTATCATAGTACTACATTACTATATATAGTACTATTTCTTACTATACTATGCTATATGGGTTTAAAAATATAGTATTTTTGCCAACCCTAACTATTAGTAGCCTGGCGACGCTATTCCTGCCAAAATCTAGTCATTCCTTTGTCCGGACAATCGAATAAGTGTAAAGGGTTGAGGAAGCACCTAAGCTGTAATAATTATGTTTCCAAAGAGTCCCGCAATCTTATTGGAAGTCAGGCTAGGTCTTAAACGAGATTTTCGCGTGGGAGTCACCAGGCCTGTTCGGATCTCGGCCCTGAAAACTGTCATAGAGGACATGTAATCGAATTTTGAGGCGGGTTTGGAAGCGTCCACTGGTGTAGTTGACTGCCATGGTGTTGCATTTTTCATTCATGCAGACTATCATGCTTCTCCTTGGTGGATTTGCCATTGCGGCTGCATTATCCAAGCACGCTATAGCAAAGCAGGTATGTTGACATGGAATTGTGTTGAAATGCGGCAAGGTGCTGATTTGGAAGTATGGCACTGGTCTGCAAGGGGAATCTGACAGCTGGTATGCCCATTGTAACGAGGTTGTAAGGCAAGGAGTTCTTTGGTTACATTTTCCATTATTACTAGTGCATCACAAATCAATGTATGTGAAGGTTCGTTGTTAACGTTTCGGTTGCTGCCCATGTACCGTGTCGTAAAGGGCTAGCCACCACCAGCCTTGGGCTGTCGGCTGCACATGTACTACTACTACTTGCCATGGACAGGTTTTTTGCTACGACTTTTTCGATGTGCTCTCTTCAAAGGATCTTCATTACTCATGGTATCATCCTATGTACTACGCCTCGGTTTCGCCATGGCAGCTGTAGTACTATGACTATATCGAGACGTAGATGTCAAGCTGGCTGGCAGTCACCGAAGTATTTTAATATGTAGGAGTAGGCAGGGGGCTAACATGAGGCGTATGACTGAAATTCATCTTTGTGTGTGGTAATCAGCGTGATTGCACTTGGTTGTGCCGTAGCCCTTTTCGCATTGACACGGACTTATGCTCGTCCGGAAGGTGAATTCCCTGAATTATGATCCCTGTCGTGTTATTGACAGGTGGCAGTCGGCATCCTGTCCCGTGTGGGCCGGAAGCCTCGTTATGTACTTCTCGCTGCCATGTTCACGGCAACATTTGCATCAATGTGGATTTCCAACGTGGCAGCGCCAGTGCTCTGCTTTGGGCTCATTCAGCCAATCTTGAGGTATGTAAGCGGTGGGCTTAAGTTCCTTAGTCGCGTTGTCATGTCAACCAGTATGCGCTACAAGCGATTTCGTTATATGCAAGTAAAAAATACCGTTGTTGCTACAAAGTAGTGCGCAAGGGCTGCACATACAATATTGTCCCTACGATGGACTGGCCAGGCGCCATAACTACTTAAGGTCAAGGTGCCTTCCCTCGCAGGACTCTTGACCCAGGGCATCCATTCGCGAAATCTTTGGTGATGGGAATAGCACTGGCCTCCAACGTTGGCGGCATGACGTCACCCATATCCTCGCCACAGGTGCACAAGAGCCCTTAAATGATAGTACGACATGTCTGGCGCGAAAATGAAATAACACGGCATCATTCCATGCGCATGGATTCGGGTATTGTTTGCCTTTCGGCTTCCTTGAGGAACGCTTGCAGCGACCGCACAATTTCTCCCTATTCTGTGCAGCATTCAGCTTGTTTACTGACTGCTTTGTATATGACCTTTTGCTGCAGAATATATTTGCAATCGAGCGTATGTCCTTAGATGGGAACCCGCCAAGCTGGCTCTCCTGGTTCGCTGTTGCAATTCCAGTGGCCCTGACATGTGGGTAGAAATGGTGACGTCTCAAACCCATGTCCTGTTCTTAGAAAGGCAACAAGATGAAACAAGGCTGTGTCGGCTTCCTCCAAGCCTGGAAAAAGGCGAGGGCCCCTTGAATACGCACAGGCCCAATACGCAAATGGCCACATTGCGCAAATTGCTGCAGCTGGGCGGTCTCGCTATGCAGAGAGCGGTCGGGGAAGCCAACGCACTTTGATCAGTCGGGAAGCTAACCGGTCGCAAGTCGCGTGCATCAGTCATCGACCCAATCGGTGATCGAGACTAAGAAGCACGGCATCGTACGGACGGAAATATAGCGCGAAAAACGTTGATGTGCCCTTGACCTCGGTCCATGGAAACAGCCAAACTTGTTTGTGCTCATACAATTTTGGTCAACTACAGGCGATACAAATGCGATACAAATACCACATAATATGAAACGTTGACGGCTTTCGATATTGCGCTTTAGCTGGGCAAGATACTATGTTTGGTCGTTAAACACGGCCACACCGCCACAAGGCGGGGGGGGGATCCAAAAAAGGGGTCCTGACGCGCTTCCCGCTGTGGCCCAGCCCTAAAATTACTCCTGCCTGTTGGATGTCTAAAGGAAAGCATTTCGACGCTTCAAGCCACCAGCCAACGGATCGATATTTCCATGCAAACTTTCAGGGCAAGCTCACCTATGAATAAGTCCTGGACATGACGACGTGAGCAGATAAGCCTTGGTCGGTCAGATGCCTAATATGCTTGATATCTTCGCTGGGAACCATGCATTATTTTAGCAATCTGATCGTTGACCTAACGACTTATACTACCGTACTGCTACGAATTCTTCTCGCCACACCTTTCGTTTTGGGCCACGAAGTGTGTCACAGTGGAAAAAGCTCTATGGGGAAAATTATTTGCTTGTCGCGAAACTGTCTGGCACGAATGTGTAGGCCGACGGTTTCGGGGTTTGTGTATCGGGGCGTTTGGTAAACCGCACCTGACTTTGGTGCCGCACCACCGGGCCTGTCTTCTGTTCTTCTGCGTAAATATATAGTAAACGATATGTCCAGCAGTTTGGGAGCTTAGACGCTGTCGCTCCTTGTTGTGGCTTCCCTGGAGCCCCGCGAAATGTGTGTTCACGTAAACAAATGTGTGCCATAAAAACTGACAGCCCTCGCGAATTGGTGTAACAAAACGAAAAAATCCAGCTACATTTTCGGGGTACCCACGAACGGTGTGGCGCGAAGAATTCGTAGCAGTACGGTAAGGGTATGGAAGTTTTCGTAGAGCGACTGGAAATTCCAGGACAAAAGTAAGCGAAGGTAGGCGTTGCTAGACATACGGAGTGATTGCAGTTATGAACATCCTGCTTCTTCGTGTTCATACGGTTTTTGTAAGGTTAACCAAAGCAACTATAGTGTTTCGCCTCTCTTGCAGCTGTCTATCATGGATTTTTGTTTCCTTTCTCTTCATGATGCAGGCAATTTGCTCTGCTGGACCCTGCTCCTCTTAGTCTACAAGCCTGGGCGGGCCATCGCTGAGGTTCGACCTCTAAAGCCTAACACGGATCCAATTAATGGGACACAGGTGAGGACTTGGAAAAAATTGCCACCGCTTCCAGGCGGATAAGCACAGAAGTATTGCCGTCTAGACTTGCTGTTAATAGGATTCATTGATCTTTTGAACCAGCAGATTCCCATCAATACGCTTGGCTGCCAGCTGGCCCACTGAGCTTATGCTAGCCTTTATCCTAGGGAGGGGGAGGGGACATAATATCTCGCCCGGTTGAACGCGTTATTATAATATAATGCATTCTCTATTGCAAGGTATCTCGCCTGTAGCCAACAAAAATCGTATGAGCACAAACAAGTTTGGCTGCCTCAATTGACCGAGGTCAAAGTCACATCAACGCCCCTCGGGCTAAATTTAATCTGAAAAGGTGCCGCGTATCTCATAGTTGAATTCTGAGATGGCGGCGTATGATAACTCGAACACCCAGCTTGCGTTACCATTTGCCTGCACGGGCATTCCGGCTTGCCACCAGCAGGCCGGCAGATTTGCTTCCATTTCTCTATGAAATACGCAAGCTGCTCGTTTGTACAATTACTTTGGCCAATGCTCGGGCTCGGTCTGTCGGCTTCCTGCCTCCCGCTTTGACAAGCATAGCTCCCACGTCATCATCGCTGCTGCAAAAGCACAGCTCCCACCACGTTGACACTACCCATCAATTGTCACACGTTGAATTGAATTGTTACAGAGTGGGAGGCTTCTGGGCCATTTGAACACATTGTCATTTCTATGATTTATCATACCATACAGCACCATCCAGCATTACCACGTGCACACTGTACTACGCCATACGAATTGGAAGTCCAAGGCGGTTGATCCTGCCTTCTAGGATCCCTCCTTATCCACTCATCCCGAACATCCATACAGAGGGTTCGGCAATCGCCACCAATCCAGCATGCAAATCTCGACCCGTCAACTGTGACCTCAATTCCACATCTCAGCAGCTAGCTATAATCTCACGTTCCCGACAACGTCGGGGGTCTCCCCAGGAATCGAACCCAGGATCTTAATCAGTATAAGACAGTAGTGTCACACCTGCCGCCCTAGCTATCGGCCTGTCCGGATGCAGGGGGGCCCCACCCTTTTTCCGGCTTCAAGGAAGCCGAGATAGACTTGTCTTCTTAAGCTCCTTTCCCATTTAGCTGCTATGTCTTGCACCAAGTGGTTTGATTAAATGTAGTAGACGTTTTCCCCCTTCAGTAGCAAGGGCCCTCAATGTGTCACATTGGGAGACGTGTGTAGGGGTGTGCGTTCCCTTCAATGCTTCTCTGTATATGTCTCAGTACCCTGCTGTTCCGTTGCGGGAAGTAAGTGCCCTTCCGTTGGAGGAAATCATACATGGAAGCCGGGCCTTCTGTGCGTGTATTGAAGATGTCTCCTGAAAGTTTAAATGCAATGGGATAGACCAAGGGCATACGGTCTCTGCACATGTAAAAATGTTTATTTTGCTCACCTTGTATAGAGAGGGACGAGTTGGATGAGTAGCAGGTTAAAAAGGTTTGGGATTGAAGTGTCACTCGTTTAGGAGAGAAGGGGCAAAGGTAAGGGATGAACCGGTAGGGAGTTCCCCTATAGCAGCAAATGGCAGGGCGTCGAATCAAACCATACCTCCCTTGTGTCACAGTCACAGTTGTGGTGCTAATAGAAACCGGCTGGTTGATTTGGCAAGGGAATCGTTGAGATTCGTTCAAAACCTCTGCGTGGTGAAACGGCTCTGAATATTTTTTCTTGCCATCCCCTAAAAAACCAAACCGCAGGCTGGGCAGACCATTGATAAACGGCACAGTCGATTCCCAATGCCTAAGCTTACGGGGGTTCCGCAAAGCACAAAAGCACGTAATGGTAATATGACGAAGTGCTGGTAAGAAGCTGTCGCCAAACCTTGAAGGGGATGCGTCAAAATATATTAAATTGAATTGAATTATTACAGAGTGGGAGGCTTCTGGGCCACTTGGATACATTGTCAATTCTACGATTTATCGCACCATACAGCACCATCCAGCATTACCACGTGCACACTGTACTACGCCATACGAATTGGAAGTCCAAGGCGGTTGTTCCTGCCTCCTCATCCACTCATCCCGAACATCCATACAGAGGGTTCAGCAATCGCCACCAATCCAGCATGCAAATCTCGACCCGTCAACTGTGACCTCAATTCCACATCTCAGCAGCTAGCTATAATCTCACGTTCCCGACAATGTCGGGGGTCTCCCCACAAAATATAGTCGGACACTTTCCTAACAGTAAGGAGTAAATTGGAAAGAAAGCGTGTTGGCAAGCCCGTGGACTGAGCTGATTGAAACGCAACAGAAGATTATGTCATGTAACACTCCCTTTAAATAATGTTGATTTGTAACGGTTTAGCATTGTGTATGTGTATGCAGGTTTACATCATCATCATATCCATTGTGACAGTGGCAGCCTGGTGTGCGAATACTTTCTTGCAAAGGTATTCATGATGCTACACAAATTGTCACCTGCCTGCTTGATGTGTGGCGAATAATGCTCATCATTAGCGGGGTCATGAGGCCTCTGGCCCAAATCCTTAGTATCAGCAACTTGCATGCGCAGGTACACTGGAGAGATGGGAGTTATTGCCGTTATACCGCTGGTGGCATTCTTCGGCTTTGATGTTTTGAACAAAGACGACTTCAATTCCTTTTTATGGAATGTTGTCATGCTCGCCATGGGAGGTCTATCACTGGGTAAGTCAATGGCCATTGAGAGAACCGCAAACCCCCGGCCTAACCTTTTCAATGGTACCACACCCTCATTTTTCTTCACCTCACCCATTTGCCGTACATATGGCACGCAGCACTATCCTGTAAATTTTGCCAAATCGCACCAGGACAATTCTTTATCGAATCCTTCATCGTCTCCGACTTATAAACATTCACGGAAATACATTCAAGCATATCTTTGTGGAATGCATTCCACAAAGATATGCTTGAATGTATATGCATATGCCCAGCGTACACAAGTACACGGGCTAAGTACGAACGTGACCTCGCGTTTCAAGGGCGCAACATGCGCACGATTATGACCGAGGCCCCACCCCTGGCGCTAGCCAGGTCCCTCTCGGAAGTCTGGGAGACCAGGCACGTTGCACTTAGGCGCTTCGTGCTCAAGCGGACGAGGGCGGACGATGATGGTCCACCACGTAACCGCACTAAAAACGATTTACCGTCCATGGCCTCCCCGGCTTTTATGGACACTCCCGCACTTGTGCGGAACTTCCTTCTGGCATAAAAGGGGGGGTACCCCCCCCCCTTAAGCGTAACCCAGGGCGTAGGGGTAGGGGTTACCCATGTGGCTATGTACGAAGGGAGGTGGGTAACCTAACCCCGGGGTAGGGGTAACCCCTTACCGATGGGTAACAAAGGAGTCGGGGTAATATAGTACTTATGGGTAACAGACAGGGTAACCTATGTTTACATTCACCTGCGCCTGTCTCGCCTGTCTACACACGCAAACATACATGCCTTCACCAATCACTTGTGAATGCCCAATTATTAACGTTGCTGCACCAAAACATGCCTTGTTTTGAAACCTAAACCTAAGGATAAGGCACACAGCTGCAGCCTATATGCAAGGAGGCGGACGAACACGCGTACATAGGCAGAGCAAATTGGGGACCACGAGAAGCCGCCAGCGAAACCAATAAATATTCCTATCAAAAGATCCAGGCACTTACCGCCGTTCCGGACCCAAGACCTAAAAGATGTAAGGTCGGCCAGTAGCTTAAGTGCCCCGTCCCGACCTGCTGATTCCAGCTCCACGCACGACCTATGCAACACTATCCAGAGTCTGCTCGTTTTCAGAGCAGGCTCTCCTAAGAGCGTCGAGGGTCTTGGGCGGGAGATCCGGATGTTTGACCACGAACACGGTCACACCCGGCGAAGTATAAGGCGCCCTTCCAGGTAAAAAGCCTCGGGTGTCACTGGATGTCTTGCTAAATGAGGTGCACCATAAGTGTGGGCCTGTGCTGCAGAAAGACAGTCAATGGTCTTATTGTGGTGGTCTTTGTGCGCGAACACTAGAACGCCACCATTTTTGCCACCATACGCACCAGTATTGCAACGTGGATTATATGTGTGCATTGTATGTATGGTCAATAGGAACAATGCTGGCAGTGAATATGATTGACTGAATTCGTGATAGTGGTCATTGCTTATTTTAGCATGTCCGTCTAATTAAAAGACCAGCCAAAAGTGTGCATTATATGAGCTTACAAGCTAATTAGCTGTGATTATGCTTGAATGTGCGTGCTAGGAGTATCAATGGAGGCAAAGCAGCATGCACATATGTGTACGACCACCCCCGGCCGGTAATATGTCGGCCGACCTCAGGACGGATTGCCTCATGTTTTCACAATGAAAACTATTATATGACAATGGATGACAACCAAAGGCATCCATTTAGTGAAAACCTGTCGTCGACTTGCGTGTGTGCTGCCAGCATTCGCGCCTTCTCCTGTACTCATCTACAAGCTCTCGTTTTACCGCAGCCAAACAGGCCAAGAGATAGGTACTTATTGCTTATTCCTTGCGTGTGTGATGCCAGCATTAGAGACCTTTAGGTTGAAATGGCGAACGATGCTTCCCGAGATACCAAGATACTGTAGGTTGCTAACATGTACATTTACAAAAATATCCTAAGAGGACAACAAATAAGACCAGTAGGCCCATGTCCATAGTCCAGGGCAACGGAGGGGTTTACCCTGGGGCCGTTTTACCCCTCCTGCTTGGTAGGAACTTACAAGGGGGTTACCAAAGGGCTACCGGGGGTTGAAGGTGGGTTATCCATGGGTAACCCATGGGTTACTGACCCAATCAGTGCCTTAGGGCTTGTACCTTCAAGCGAACCCAAGGTGTAATGCTCGGAAAAGGCACAAGTTGTCATTTCTGAGCATGTTCCGGATATTTCATCCTTTAGGAATTTTTTGGGCGGGGCCCCAGCGCAAAGCACCCAGGGAGGCGCCCTGTAGGATTGCCCATGTCCGTGTGGCAGTATGTGTGTGTAACGGACCAAACATAATCTCGCCCAACTTCAACGCGTTATTGGTAATATACTGCATTCTCTATTGCAAGAGATCTCGCCTGTAGCCAATAAAATCGTATGAGCACAAACAAGTTTGGCTGCTTCCATTGACCGAGGTCAAAGTCACATCAACGCCTCTCAGGCTAAATTTAATCTAAAAAGGTGCTGCGTATCTCATAGTTGAATTCTGAAAAGACGGATTGCTGAAGCCGCTGGCACTTCAGGGATGAACATCACAGACAGCACCGGAAAGTGATGAGGGCTTTAGGGAAGTGTGTCGAGCTAGGGTTTGTGGGGGCCGCCAAGTGTGCGCCCGAATGGGCAGGCCAATGCCTGAAGGGGCGCTGTTTTCCGTGTGTACGGTGCTGTACAGCGTTGTTTTCCGTGTGTGTTATGGCTGCGGCACCAGACCGCAAAGCCAACACGCTGAAGGCTGGCAAGCTGCTATTGTATCTGCTGAGCGTTGAGCATTCGGCCTGGACCGCGGACTTGCTGGCCGAGCCCCTGCTGTGCGCCGGTAACGGCACCTCAGACTCATACGTCTACACCCAAGCAAGGGGCTGTCAGTGGCAGGTCGCGGACCTCCAGACAGCGTGTAACGGCCAATGACTCTTGGCCGTGTCTGCTAGGTTCCAGAGAGACACCGTCTCTCCAACAGGTTATGAGCCCCGGCTTCCTGCCTCCCACGCTCTGACAAGCATAGCTCCCACAGCATCAGCACTGCTGCAACAAGCACAGCTCCCACCACATTGGCACTACCCATCAATGGTCACACGTGCCACCCAAGCTACCAGCTTGTATGGATGCAGGGCCCCCCCGCACCTTTTCAGGCTTCGAGGAAGCCGACACCCGACTTGTCTCTTGCACCTTTTTCGTTACTACAATCCACAATTTCACCTCCGCTCTAAAAGACAACTGTCACTACACCTGCTTAGGTTGTAGGACCATGAAATAATAATTGAAAACTTAACAAATAAATGGAGAAGTTGAAAAGTCAATTACGGGGCATTAAACTGCAGTTTTAAGTACACACATTACATAATTTGATTGAAGTTGAGAAGGTGCTCAGTAGCATCGTAAAGTTCGTTTTCGTAGAAGGCACGCAACCGCCTTGCCCCGAGGCTAATTAGAAGGCTTTCCTTTCTTGTTTTGATGCTGATCGAAACCCCGTAGGATGGCGTATATTCATGTTAATGCGATTCCGCACGCTGTGGGGTCCAAAAACTCTAGCTGTTCGGTGACTTATGGAGACGGCTAACAACCACTGCAAAAGCAAAGAAGACTTCCTCTTTACCGTATTACCCCTCAGTAATTAGTGAGGTTGGTCGTCAGTCGTACCCACCCATGTCTATAGGTGCCCGTCGCCCCCATCACCCATTATGAGAGTTAAGGGGCAGGTGGGCCGAATTGTAACGCCCCGTGGCGCGGCGAATGGAACAAGAAAGGCGTTATCCAAGCAAGCAGGGTCGTCCGGTACGTAATACGAATTCATTCGCAGATAATACGTACTGTGCGCTCTTTTTGAAAATTGATACGCAAGCAAATTTGTGTCGTACAATGTGTAAAACGTTAAGGAACCTCAGATACCAACGGAAATGACAGAACGGGATGCAACTGAGCCTTGCCACACTACCTTCCAACTGGCACGGCCTTGGCCAGAGTCAAGGAGTTGCTGCGCTGCTTTAGGGCAGGCTGCGTGGCCCCGTCAGACGTTAGCACGACCAACTCGCTGGCCTTGCGCTTCTTCTCGGCAGCCTCCACCTTTGTTGCCTTGAGCTTCTGGAATCGGCCTTAACGATGTCCGGAACCTTTGGGCATTTCGCGACGGCCGCGCTCGGAATGTGAGCCAGGTGGCCCTGAACGTGGCAGGTCTTTTCACTATAGTTGAAGCAAACGCTCTTGTTGGTGCTTACTTGACCATTCCATTCAGGCGCGGTGTTAGCCACTGTGCATGCACAGCGCTACCGTTTCAAGCTAAACGTATAGAGAGTTTCATACGGGACATTGTTCTCTTACAGAAAAATGTTAATATCAGGGTCATGTATTTTTGCCGTGTTTTAGTGTGTACCGTACGTTTTTGTCAACGTATGCGTACTACATGCACAAATGTGACCTCAGGCCACCGTATCTGATGACCCTGCTAGCAAGCTGCAGTCCCAGACAACAATGCTGCAATTATGTTGGTGCCGCTTTGTCACGTGCAGCAGCGCTGGCCTAATGTGCAGGTACCCATGATCGTGCCTAATGCTAAGCCTCAGTTACTCATTCTATACGACTGAACTGCAGGTGAGGCAGTCAAGAGCAGCGGCCTACTGGCTGCACTCGCTTTGGGCATTAGCGAGTTGGTAACAGGTCTGACCCTGTTCCAAGTAGCTCTCATCTTCTGTGGCATGGTATGTGGGTACTTGCACCCTTACCTGGTATGCATCCTTATCTTATCTCGTGCATGGGTGACTTATGCATGTGCCTTAATTTAGGGTGAACTGGCTACCTGGCTCATTGGGTCGTACTGTTCCTACAATGACGAGAGAAAACTATGGTAGTGGCATAGTGGCATATTTTACTCGTACATTAAACCAACGTTTCTTGTTATCTACGAATTAACACGCGCATTACAAACCAGGTTCTGGTGGCAACTACCTTTATCAGTCACACAGTCGGAGCGATGGTCATCTTACCAATAGTGCAGACCGTTGGAGAGGCTATGACGGGAACGCCGCACCCGAACTTGTTGGTTATGGCGGCATCCCTCACGTGCTCTGGTAAGCAGCGCAGTTAACGGCAGTTTATTAATAGAGCCTCTAAACCATCCTTGGAATGCGCTCCGAATGCAAGTGGATCAATGTTCTTTCTAGCGTGGCCCTACCAATGACGACGAAGTGTAATTAACTGGGCCAATTTTCGCCGCCTATTGCCAAAAATGTTTCAGGTGCTATGGGCTTGCCTGTGAGCGGCTTTCCAAACATGAACGCCGTTAGTCTGGAGGACGGGACCGGCAATGCTATTGTCAGCACTCGCGATTTCTTATATGTCGGCGTGCCTTCCTCAATTGTGGCGTATTGCGTTATTGTTACCCTTGGCTACATGCTCATGTTACTTGTTGGCTTATAACTTCAAATCAGCCTTGGCAGGGCTCGGGCTTCATGGTTCAAGGCATAGTTGTAGGACAGCATCTTGAGCTTTCGCTGTGTGGTTTATGCTAGGCGGTGGAGGATAGGCGGTGTATCCACGGCACGTGCATACCTTGGAACTGATTTTGAGGTCGTGTTTCTTCCGTAATGCCGCATTATTTTCCGTTGAGGCATGCGCCGTTGCCTGTGCTCACGCTGTGTAATGGTGTGCCACCAGGCGACACGGTTTCCCTTCACATAAGATATTGCCATAGCAGAGCCAAACTGCTTAAACCCAGGCTGCCGGAGTTGTCGAAAAACACATGGATGGCATTTGGGCCAGGCAAATATAGCATAAAGCGGTATCCCGATGGATGTTTCAAACTCCGCCGGCCAGGTATACCAGATGTAAAAGCATGTTAACAGTGGAAGCGCTTGCAGCTATCCGGTGGATGTTTTGTTGGAGGATGTTGGAAGGCGCCGGTCGAGGTTGGACTTGTTTTATATGAATGTGAACCATCCGTTCCTTAACCTGTTTCTTCTTTCACGGAGCAATTGCTAATGCAGGAAGATCAACCACAGTTACGAGGCCGGTTTGGCATCTATTCATCATGAGCTTCAGCATGGAGCATGTCGTCCACTGGGTTCATACGTTGCTATTCATGTATTGATTGCCTTATGTTACACCCAGGAACAAGCTAGCTGGGGAATTCATTTGACACTCTGGGCATCCAGGTTTCAGTGGAACTGGATGAGTTGCTGCAATCAATTCCTAATAACGGCCAACCGCCGCCCGATCCGTCCTGGCCTGATCAACCGCTGTGCCAACCGCACAGGAGGTGTGGGCCGCTTTAGTTCGTGGCCTGGCCTGGCGGCCCATGTGTTGTATCCACTTCCACTGTTTAGGTGGTAGTGAAAACTACCGATTAGTGAATGAAGGGAGGCTAAATGCCTCAGCGGTAATGACGACTTGTACAGCAATCTGTACCATCCGAGAATATAGTCGTCAACGCGAATTATCACCAATTGGTGCAATCGTAACCCAAGTGGGTCTACCAGTGACAAGTGTCACGATTATAGCAAGAGCGCTATAACCCAGTATCACGCGTGATAAAAGATAGGCAAGTGCCCAATGGTTAACCAAGTAAGAGCGAAGATAATGCCAAGTGGCGAAGTGCCATGGTAAAATTCGCCACCACCCTGCGGCTCACGGCCGAGCTCTAGGCTTTGGCCGCATGTCACACAGCCTACATCGCGGACACATATGCGGACCCCATACCTCGGGACGCTCTATGTCCCGGAACGTGTATTGTCTCGCGAGAGCAACTGGAGGAAATCGGATCAGACTGGGCACGACTTGCTTCGCTTATCTCTCGAGGCATCCCTATGCTGCACTTGAGCTCAGTCCCTTTCGACCACCCGTTCCTTGCATGTAGTCCAGGCCATGTGCTGTTCAAGGGGCCCCTGAACACAGACTGCATCTCCGTCTCTGTGAGGAGGTTGGGCTTTTCATCACACTGATCAATAGTGCTCGTCTTCATTGCATCTAGGGTGGACCCCCATGTCCTCTCCATGGGGCGAGTGGATTCAGGGTGATGACATGGATCCACTTCGCCTCGCACTTTTTGAGGTATGGCAGCGTCCCCAAGCCATGGGGACCTCTGCCTTTGGGGAGGGCCCTTTGTACTGGGGCTCTCTCCCTTTGGGGAGCCTGAGAATCTCCCCAAACGATTTTCCCTGGGGAGCATTTCGCCGTGGCTGAAGCGCCCTCACCGGAAGCGCCCGACGAGTTAGGGAAGGTCCCGGGGTGACTCGCGCCACATAGCGCCATCAACTTCACGCAATCCCGGCGACCTTCCCGACGGCCCAGCACCATACCAGTTTGTACGGCATATACTACCCAGCCCTACATGCATATTCACCTCAAAACTCCGCATCAAAAAAGAGAAATGGCTTTGGGAACGGCGTTTGTAGGAAAATCGCCGAACGTCAAGGCTTTAGTGGTTTATGCAATAGGCCTTAAGGATTGCCGAAGGCCAGACCCCAATTCATGTTCACGACTTAAGGACTTTTGGAAGTGAACACTGAAAATGTCCTCCATTAGGACGCTGACATATATTCAAGTTTTGTCCGGCTCTTGAGTTTTGTCCGGCTCTTGCTGCGGCGCTTTAGGACTCTGGGTGTACATGCCGTACAAACTGGTCATGGTGCTGGGTCGTCGGGAAGGTCGCCGGGATTGCGTGAAGTTGATGGCGCTAGGGGGCGCGAGTCACCCCGGGACCTTCCCTAACTCGTCGGGCACGTCCGGTGAGGGCGCTTCAGCCACGGCGAAATGCTCCCCAGGGAAATTCGTTTAGGGAAATTCTCAGGCTCCCCAAAGGGAGAGAGCCCCAGTACAAAGGGCCCTCCCCAAAGGCAGAGGTCCCCATGGCTTGGGGACGCTGCCATACCTCACAATTGACCAAGTCAAGTGCTGCGGCAGCTGCAAGTCATCGGTACAGACGCTAGAATTGTAATAATTTATCGATGATAACCGTCACCGAATTGTGTGGAGGTGGTCGTGACAGTCTTTTACAAAGTCAAACACAAAGTTCGAGTCCAGCGCGCGGCCCTACGGGCCGCAATAGAGGCTGCAAATCACGTCTTTTGGTCAAATTTTGGTCATTAGCGACCCGCAGCCTAACGGGGCCTTAAGCCGAATTTCGGCTGCGGGTACTGTGGTACGGACCCACCCGATTTGCCGACCTCTGGTGGAAACACCGTCACACTAGCACTACACTAAGTCCACATTAGCCCATAATGTCCACACTAGCCCATAAATACACTGTGGGCTAGTGTGGACTTAGTGTAGCGCTAGTGTGACGGCGTTTCCACTAGCTGCACAAAGGAGCGCCGAAACCAAAATGGTTTTCGTATTTTGAATGTTTTTGCGCCAGGTATTAATTGCTGCTAATTGCCAAGGTCTGTAAGGATAATATGGATTGTAGGCTTCTCCTGGCAGCCTTCACGGGTTATACCGGTGCATTGATGGCTCTCCCGCTGCTTATCAGCCCCAGCAGGCTAGACGACGGCAGAATATCCAGTAAAAATATAGCTGCTCAGGTCAAAGGTCTGTGATCAGAAGGCACAAACCGGCCCCTAAAAGTTGCCCGCCAAATAGTAAATGCTAGGTTTGGAAGTTATGGGCAGGTCTGAGGTCCCATTAACTTTGTGACGCGCTAGTGTGGCTAGTGTACCGGGTGTTTCCACTAGGCCTTACGGTTATCCGCCAGGAGTGCCCCAACCTCCAATTTGTTTGATGAATATTTGTTTCTGTAATTAGTTATAACAATATGCGCATTATGAACGGTGAGAGACAAGTCCAGGACGAAGAATATTCGAACATGGTGTTAGTGTTCGGCCAAGTGGAAACACCCTGACTCAGGACCAGTGAGATAAAGAAATACCAAAGGCATAAGCTTAGGATCTTCATTACGGGGTAGGAGGCAGAAAGACAGGCAGCGAACGGAAGAAGCAGGATATACTAGTCACACTGGGTAGGAAGGTTCCTCATCAGAGGTCGGCAAATCGGGAGGGTCCTGCGGGTCCGTACTACTGGGTTTACATGATACGTTACGTTGCGAAAACTTTTAGGTAAAAGTGGACCTGAGAAAGTCATCCAGTTTACATGGGACATTACGACGACGTTGTGTTCGTTGGCGCGAGCTGCGTAAACCATCTCCACTCTATGGCTTTCCTTGGCCAAAACTTCAGCATATCCCCTTAGAGAGTCCCAGTATATAAATGAAGGGCTTTCGGCGGCCCTGCCACGTGCAATGACGCTGCATCCCGCGCAAGCCCCGATGGCGTTTGCCCTAGCGGCCGCTATGGATGAAAATTTTGACAACCTTGAGGATATGTTCAATTCTCAATGGCAGTGCTTGAGCGTGTGGGCCGACGCGGCGCGGCCCATGCCGCCGGAAGTGCGGCCGACTTGCCGTTTCGCGGGTGGCTTCAACGCACGTTGGCCGGCATGCTGACCGGTCGTAAAGCCACTGCTGAGCCCGCAGAGGCGGAAGAGCCGTTACTTGGGCCATCTTGCAGCGCCGGTGAAGGTCCAGGTCTACTTTTCCCAGCACCAGCACCTCCCACCTCTGGAAACGCCAGCACCGTAGCCCTTCCTCCACAGAAGAAAGGGCACAGTCAAGCCAACACCGCCGCCATCGGTCCCACTCAGCAGCCAGCACCTCTCCTGCCCGCCACCCCCACCACCACCGCTCCCGAACAGCAGCCGGCAACACGCCTGCCCCCCGCCACCCCCAATGCCACCGCCAACCCGCAACGGAAGCGCACCAAGTCCACCAATAAGATCGATGCCGTTGGTGTCCCCCCGGGGTTTGAGCGGCCTCATAATCCCAACGAGGACATTGTTTGGCTGACTGACGCTTGTGGTGGTGATTTCAAGAGCTGGGCCTATGCACTTCAGGGCTCGACGACGGTCATATGCTTCTTTTGCGACACACATAAGAAAAGTAACGCCACCATTTCCCGCACGAACTGGGATCGCTCAGCTTACACCCGGCACGAGGCCTCGCACTCCCACAAAGCGGCTGTAGACCATTACACGCAGGATCAGTAGCAGCAGCAAACTAACAAGCACCCGGCCAGGACCGTGGTTGCTGACAATGCCTTGGCTCTGTTTGGTGGCGCATACATGGTCCTGTACCAAGCCATGCCTTTCACTCACTTCCCAGCGATCTGTGAATACATGGACTGAGTTAATGTACCAAACATCACCAGCTTAACGAGATTCTTTTTGTGAAGCTGAGTGCGTCGGGGTCCTTGAAGGAGGATGCAATGTTGAAGGGGGCAATGGCCAAGTACAAGTCCTCCACTAGGATGCACCTCTACACGCACATCAGCGATAAGGTCGAGAATATCCTTCGCGACCCGCGCTTCAACCGCATGCGGTCGGCTTTGTGAGGATGAATAGCTCGGGGGGCGACACTAACTTCATGGCGCAAGAACTTGCCTGGCGACGAACCCTTGTCCCTCCCCCTGTAAAACAATCCGCCTGCAATGTGTACGGAACGTCGAGCCCTGAGATGTTGTTGATATCGTCTTCTCGCCGGACAACTTGGCCAACACCTTGTTGGACCTCCGTCGGACTCTGTCGCGCATGTGGCGACTTCGGTGGGATAACGAACATAAAGAAGCCCTTTGGCGGCTAGCTCTTGATGGTTTCCCTGTCTTTCCTATGCATAGGGCGCAACGTCAAAGAGGCGTCCCTGCTGCTTTGTGTCCCTGTGGTTGCACATGGTTTGTGGGGATCGTCGGCATCATTTCTGGGCCTGTACTGTCGCGTTGGCTCTTCGTGAGGCTCTGCAGAACAAACTAGAGTTTCCATACCTTTTTAACCGGGCTAACTTGTGGTTGAGCATTCCACCGACCTCCGTTTATGGGTGTGTGTGGGAGGTTGTATGCCTTGCGGCCATCAGCTCACTCAATATCGGTCGACGCTTGTTGTTTAGGGAAGGTCTTCAGGCCAACATTGCCGTATCCACGTCAACGCGTAACCCAGGGAAGCGACCGTATTCGGTTTGGCCGTCTGGCGTAATAATGGTACCTCAAATTATTACGCCAGGCGTATTGCGTATTAATACGCCGGGGTTCACGCCATGCCATATTACAATACTCGTGGCGTATTCCTTTTGCGCTATTCCGTCAGGGAATTCATGTTTTTCGCTTTTACAATGAAAGGTGTATTGCTTTAGTGTTTGGAAAACGATCTCTCACAAGATAAAATATGAATTTGGGCAACAGCCAGACCTGGACAGCCATCGAGCCATGTGCGCACACATTCGCGTCTGCATTCTAGCATTCCTAACAAACCGTGATTATCACAAATACTACAGCCCAAATAGAGATAGCTTGGGTGTCAGGCCAACACCACAGACGACAGACCACACCCCCCTAAAGCCTCCTCACTCCCCCACGGCGAACGACATCGCCTTCTGGCCAGGGTTGAGCTCCAGCGGCTGCTTGGTCCAGTCGAACCAGGGGAATTAGGTCCCGGTTTAGCGCGTTTTGCTTCGCGCACGTTTTCCATTTCGGTATGTTGCAAACCCAATGATAAGCGAACCTATTACCTAATCCTAAGTATCAACTAATGACACCAATGACTCGGGAATGTCAATAGCTCGATATTTCTCAAAATCGGCGAGTTTTCAGACTGTACGACAACCCAACGACAAACAATACGCCGACAATACGCCAACAATACGCCAACGCATAAACAGCCCCAACTGGCTGGCGTATTCGGCGTATTAATACGGGCGTATTAGCTGGCGTATTAATATGGAATACGGTCGCATCCCTGGCGTAACCGCATTACTTACGATCAGCGTTTTTTTTTGCGGAATATATTCCGAATTTGGAGTAAAAAATTGTTCGCGGTCCTGAAAATTAAGAATAAATAATGTTCCGACCGTACAAGTTCATTCCTCCAGCCGAAAATGGACTTTTTATGCCAAAGCCGCTAGAATCTTACAGGAGACATACATGTTAACCATATCGAAGTACTTTAATGCCATGGATACTGTTAGGAAGGTCACGCCCGAAATTCAACGCGGAATCGGGCTGTTTCTGACCGGACCAAATGCTGCAAAATGTTCGGACCCGAAGCTCCCAAAACGTGGAAGGCCATTAAAGCAGATATTAAACTTCACTGAAGCCATTAGCGACGTTAATGAAGACGGCTTAGAGGTCGTAGGCAATGAGGACGCAATGCTGCAGCCAACCGACAACAATGACGCCACTCCGGTTGTGAACAGCGAGAGGGCCAAACGTCAACGTTCTTCATATGGAAACAATCGCAATGGGCCAGGAAACACGGGCATCGAGGTCGATGGCAGCAGCAACCCCGGCGCTGCAGCTAAGACTCCTAACCCCACACTCCGCGCGCAAAGACGCCCCGACCACAGACGCAAGGACTTGTGAAGGGGCCGGTACATGATGGACCGCTAACTAGCGTGCAGCATCCACAGCAGGGGCTGCAACCAACCGCAGAGGTTGCGTTTGGCGGTTCTGGTTCATTCATGCTATGCATCATTACTTTTGCAATCTGGAAAGTCGAGTAGTGTTATCTTTCAACGTGTTGCAAAACGAACGACGGTGAACGAACTCTGTTTGATCAGTGCTTGAGTAGGGGTTAACTGGTCTGTGTTTGCTTGGGCCCTGCAACAGCAGTCGCCCGTGCAACCGGGGTTCCTGTCAAAGCGTCCAAGTGCCCCCCGCTTCCTGGCGTGCAAGAGGAGCGATTGTGGTGTGCGCGTGTTGTGACATTCCCCAACCCCTGTGTTTGTACGAACTAAATTATAACTCATGGGGGGGGGTCTGGGGGGGGCGTAGCCCCCCCCCAGCGCCTTACAGATTCGGAATACTATAGAGTTTTAGGGTTTTAAAACCCTAATTTCCGCGACTAAAAACCTATTCCTCCGTTCGGACTGCAAAATTGACAGGCAAATTAAAAAAAACACTGCTTACGATGTCACCTCTGACTTTTGGGCCCCGTTTCACTGCCTTTGCAGCACGGGATTACCTGCGAAAACGTTGGGAACAATGTGCTACACAACCATTCTTTGTTTTATGTGAACGACGCAGACATGGTTGTTTGCCGCTTATCGATAGGTTCCCCTTTAGTTCTTCCCCTTTGGTACCCCTAAAGGGGAACCTACAATGACGAGGTCTGAAGGCTCACGTCGGAGCTTCATATTTTCTGTACGAGCTCACTAACTGAGGTCTTGTGTCCAGTGAAGTTAGTACGGCCTTGCCGAGGTTTTTTGAATAAAGCCCACAGTGTTGTGGGGGGAGTTGTACCTAGAGGCGTTGCATTTAACCTGTTTGGGTCCACTTTGACATTCGCATTCCCTGAAATGCTGTTTTTTTGCGCCGGAAAAAGACAAAATTTTATCGACCTGTGTTCCTCATCATCGCTTACTTCATAAATCAGTTTTCTTGCTCATAAGAACCACTTCTAAATACATATCCTGCTCTTATGGGTCACAAACTCTTTTACTTTCAGATACTGTTTTTATGGGTCACAAATCAAAGATATCTCCGCAACCCAAAACTTCCATGCCACAATCTTCAGAATTACCCGTTACACCCGTACCAATTGTACCCATCATCCATACTTTTCATATCCTTAACCTTATCGTTTCCATTTACTTTCAAAAGAAAGTATAGCAAAAGAATATCCCCCATACGAGTAAAGCTCCCAGATATGGATGCACAGTTACAAGTCGACCTCTACCCATCAGTAAGCTCCATTACACAACAATTCACAACAACTTCGTAAGCTCCATTACAACTTGTTCTCCATTAACACAGTTTTGCAGCAAACCTGGGGGTAATCAATTTATTACATATCCCTTTCTCTGCTCACTTATCCGAAAACTCAGCATCGATGACGTCATCAGGCCCTCTGCTACTACCTGATTGAGCCCCAGCGCCAGAGTTAGGTCCAGCCTGGCTGTACATGGCTTGACCCATAGCCATTACCTCCTGCTGCAGGGCGTTCATGGCTGCCTTAACGGCCTCGGCATCATCGGACGTCAGGCTAGACTTGAGGTCGGCCAACTTAGAATCCACCTTCATCTTTATCTCCGGCGTGACCTAGAGAGAAAACCGGCGTAACGTCAAGGCTTGAGCAACGACAAACTACGGCAAAACTAACACAACAAACTCACAAAAACGCAGATCAAGAAACGTGGGGCTGCATCATGCGATGGCGACATACCTTTCCCTCAAACTCCTTGAGCTGTTTCTCCGTCTGATATACCATGGTCTCGGCCTGATTCTTTAATTCCACACTCTCACGACGCTTTTTGTCTTCTGAAGCAAATTTCTCGGCCTCCTTGACCATGCGGTCAACGTCCGACTTGTCTAGTGTAGATGCACCTAAATAAAGTTTCATTGGCGTTTCAATTAGGTATCTGGGACACAGAAACCTTAAGTACGGAAGAAGTCCAGACAATTATATATCATCCAGGAGAATGTATGGCCTGAACAACAATTAGGCCACCGCATAGCGGGCAACATGGACGCTATCACATCTGCTTGTATACAAATGGGCAAACGGTTATTCCGAAATGCCTGAAGGACATGACCAACAACATTGGTACCACTACCTACAAAAACCCTTCTCGCACCCACCTGTGATGCGGATGTCCTGCTTCTTTCCGGTGCCCTTGTCTGTTGCCGTTACCGAAAGTATCCCATTGGCGTCAATGTCGAACTTAACCTCAATTTGTGGAACTCCACGCGGTGCAGGGGGAATACCGTCCAGACGGAAGGTGCCCAAACTTTTGTTGTCGCGGGCGAATTCACGCTCCCCCTGCAGAGAATGGTAAACATACGAAACAAACAACAGATCAGCTTCGAAGAGCCGATGAATACTAGTAACGCTAGCCAAAACATCCATGCGATCATAGATAAAACTTACTCTCGGGGAATGGTGAAAACGCTCTCGTTAGCAACAACATACATCATTGCGTAGTAGGTAAATATTGAAGCAGACCCATACCGCCTATTATCATGCGTGCAATAGAAGATAGCGTTACTTCGGTATGAATCATAAGAATTGCTTCGCCTAAACCATATGTACTTCGCCCACATAAATAAGAGTCAGTGCAGTACGCACCTGCAGCACATTAATCTCAACACTTGTCTGTCCATCGGCAGCAGTGGAAAAGACCTCAGACTTGCTAGTCGGCAAGGTAGTGTTCCGGGGTATCAATTTCGTCATTACACCACCCAGCGTCTCCAAGCCAAGCGATAATGGCGTGACATCCAGCAAAACGATATCGCTGACCTCGCCTGCCAGCACGCCAGCCTGCAGGCCGTAACAAATCAGTGAAGGCCAGCGCTCAGAAAAATGCGACAACTCCCTACATGCTCATTGCGAGCACTTGCGAGATGAAACTATTGCAGCGAAGCGCAATGGGGCCTGCATGAGTACACGCACCTGGACAGCAGCGCCCAGCGCAACCACCTCGTCGGGATTTACCGAAACATTCGGCTCCTTCCCACCCGTCAGCTTCCGAACAATGTCTTGCACGGCAGGAATACGAGTCGAGCCGCCAACCAGGATCACCTCCTGAATATCCGTGATTTTCAGCTTAGCGTCGCGCAGAGCCTGTCAAGCAGTCACCGCAACTGATAAGACATGGGAATCCGATAGAAAAGGTCAGAACCATGGCTGTACGCCGTTATCGATTATAACATCAACCGGAAAACGCTAGGAAGCGTTGCGCACCTGCTGGACTGGCACCTTACAACGCTCAAGTAGGTCGTTGCACATCTCCTCAAACTTCGCACGGGTAAGCTGCATGTCGATATGCTTGGGCCCATCCACGGTAGCTGTAATGAATGGTAGATTAATACTGGTCTGGGTAAGGGAACTCAGCTCGATCTTGGCCTTCTCCGCAGCCTCCGTCAAGCGCTGCCCAAAGGATGGGTCAAATAAAACCTTACGACATAGTTGCTCAACCACAAACTGAACGAGCACACACGAAATCCTTTCTACTTCAAATTGGCGTGTGTATCCCGTACTCGTTCAGTGTAAAGGATTTCGTCCACATAACACCACTGCAATTCCCCGACAGTGCAGATCCCCGACATTGATCGGGAGCATTAAGTTAAGATGAGGTCTAGCTGATGGACTAAGTTTCACAAGCTAGATTGGTGGCGATGGCTGGTACATCTCTACAGATGTCGGGTGACAGGATGAGGGGTTCCTTGGTCTTACAACCGCCTTCGGTTGTACGTCCATGCCGCCCCCAGGCCTTAGATGGACAGCCCCGCTCTCGTGCGGAACTTGTAACTTGCAACATAATGACCATACTGGATAACCCACCTGCAGCGCTTGGCGGTCCTTACGGAGATCAATACCCTCTGAGCGCTGAAACTCGTCCGCCAAGAAGTCCACAATTCGCTTGTCGAAATCGTCACCACCCAGATGTGTGTCGCCGCTGGTTGACAACACCTCAAACACGCCATCGCCAACCTGCTCATCAGGCAAAAGATCACTGAGCACTGCATTTCCTAGTCCTGCGCGAAATTTACTGCACACAAGACGAATAGAAACAGTGACCGACCAAGGAACTTTGCTGGAACGCACCAAGGAGGCGACAGCACGATACAAGTTTGTATGGCGGCTTGAGGGCGCATAGGGCTCACCTCTAGTACGGACACATCAAACGTGCCACCACCAAGATCAAAAACAAGAATCGTCTCATTTGCCTTTTTGTCGAAACCATACGCCAAGGAAGCTGCAGTCGGCTCATTAATGATACGCAAAACCTGCAGCAGTACCAGTCACCCAAGTAATACTCATGCAAGCGCAACAACTACCCCTTGCGTGAACAAACCTCGAGGCCAGCAATCTTCCCAGCGTCCTTCGTTGCTTGTCGCTGTGAGTCATTGAAATAGGCCGGCACGGTGATAACAGCCTTCTCAACCTGCATCGGCAGCGCGACCACGTCAAAGGGCACCAAACCGTGACGTCTCGGACTATACATGTTTTCAACAAGTCTGGACAATCTAGCACTTCCACTGGACCCAAGACAAAGGCTGCAACCACTTCATTCCTTACTGTCCCACCTTGTCATTTAAGAACTTTGATGCATCTGCAGTCAGCTTACGTAACACCTGTGCAGAGATCTCCTCAGGGGCAAAGTCTTTATGTGCGTTCGGACACTTGATTTTTACATTTCCACCATCCTCGATAACCTACAATTCAACATCAATGGTTAGACAAGATATACGACGGGAACTGGTATTGCCTTTTTGAATTCCTAACTTCATTAAATCAACTACCAGGGCTATCCCGGGATCAAAAAATTAACAATGCGGCTAACTAAGCACACCAGCAAAACCAAGCCATCAAGATGCCAGGACAATATTCACAAGACCTTGCGACCGTCCCAAGTGTGCAACCCCACCTGGTACGGGACCTGCCTAGACTCCTGTCCAACCTCAGACATGCGACGACCAATGAAGCGCTTCACGGAGAAGAACGTGTTCTCCGGGTTAACGACTGCCTGTCGCTTTGCAATCTGGGGCATGCACGGCACACAGACGTGTGTACATCAGTAACAGTCAAAAAAAGAGTCCATTCCAGAAACCCCACAACCAACTCCAATGACATATATCGTGCGCTGCTTGCCCAGTTGACAGGAGGGAATTTCGCTTAGGTAAGCAGGCGAGACAACCAAGATTAGAAATTACATCACAAAAGAAATTACACACTTGGACAGACTTAAGTTCATAAGTGGACTCGGTAGGAAAATGGTACGGTGTGGCTAGGGGAAAATTTTACAATTATTTCCGTTTCCTTCTCGATACCACATCTTCCGGGAGCTGCGTACCTATACACCGTACCGGTCCAGATTTCCAGGACGCACTATCCTCACGTACTCCTCTTCCACATGCATACGTTTGTCACAATTTCTACAATGAATTATAGGGCCTGCCAAAATACGTAAAATTGGGGGTAGCTCGCGTCCATCACGCTGCTTCGTAGCGCTGCAAAACGACAACCTGCTGGTGCGCTACTGTTACATTGTCAACAGCTCAACTCCAGCCCCTGTACGACGTGTAATTTTATGTGATATGCTTTTAAGGATTTACACGCAGAACCACAGGTTAGCGGATCTCATAAGTCCAGGCCAGCAGAAAGGCAAGACGATCTACGATGCCCGGTGAAAGTAAAGGTGCCATGGTCAGTAGAACGGAATCAAGGCAGCCAGATTCATATAAACCCTTTACCCGCAAACTTTACAGCTGATCTGAGAGCAAATATCCTGCCCGTAGCCTTTTACCTTTTCCTGTCATGCCGAAACAGGCGCAAGTACATGCCATCACTTACGTAACGGTTACGCTTGTAGAAAGTATGTATTGCAAAGGAATTTCTCACTCAGACCAGTACTGCACACCGCTCGGTCCACAAAACCGCCACAACATTAATCAAAGGCTCCGACACCCAGACCGCGTATACTGAGCTCCAAATCAGCATGTTACTAAACACAGACATCAGTCAGACCCCGTTGCCTAACACACCTTAACACCGGTCTGTGCAAAAAGGATCCCCGCGATGCAAAACAAATGCGACACGGAACCTTCGGAAATCCTGCCAGTGCCCACAGCTGATAACCAACAGCCTTAAGCTTTGGAACGGCCGTAACGCACACTTCCATGACAACGAAATATACTTTGCAAAGAACGCCAAAAGAGAAAGTGCGCACATTTGCACCAAGTAGGACGTGTAACCCCAGAAACGCATGTAACCGAACGTACCTGGCCCACTAGGCGATCTCCAGTCTTCGTGAACGCCACCACAGACGGTGTAGTACGGCCGCCCTCCGCGTTAGTGATAATTGTTGGCTTTCCTCCTTCCATTGCAGCTACCGCTGAGTTTGTCGTGCCAAGATCAATGCCAACGACCTGGAAATCAGACTTAACATGAAGCACGTTGCATCGCACAACGCACGAAGATGATTATCTCATGAAATACCTTGTCTGCGCGTACACAAACAGTCAGGGTGCGACGCCTGGGGATCAGACGACAAGTCTTAGGCAAAATGCCAGCAGCGCCAGATCCACGCCTGGACAGACCAGTGACCTGAAATGTGCTCATCTTCCTGACAATTCCCTGTACTGAACGTGTATTTGATAACCCAATCAAAAAATATATTTCACGAAGTACAGAATTATCAGTTATGGACCACGTTAAATTGAGGAGCTCGAGGAGCTTCTGGCCCTTTCGTTGTAGCTTGTACGACGGGGTTTAGGCCCAGGGTTTACATCAATACATTAAGAAGACAAACTATGCGAATTTCTTTCTCTTTTCGTTACATATGTTATCTGTACAATTCTAATCTTTTATTGTAGGTTTAGAACTGTAGAAGAACACACGGTATTTTGCCTATAAATGGCTGCGCTGGAAACTTTTCTGTTCACATCCGAGTCGGTGAATGAAGGCCATCCGGACAAAATCTGTGACCAGGTATGTTTATTTTTGACGGCGCTTTCCGCGGCGCTTTTGACCTGAGCATAACTGTGGTGATGAAAGGTCGTAATGTGTCTCCCAGATTTGTTGACAAGATACGAAGCATTTGTATCCCACACTGATGCGTGAATGGATCGACTTGGCCTCCGCAGGTATCTGATGCTGTACTCGATGCCTGTTTGGAACAGGACCCAGACTCGAAGGTATGAAATCCATCGTTAATGTTTGTTACGGGGTGTTTTAGCACGCGGGCCCTTGCAGGTCGCTTGCGAAACATGCTGCAAGACCGGTATGGTGATGGTGTTTGGAGAGATCACAACGAAGGCAAAAGTCGATTACGAGGCAATTGTCCGCCGCGTATGTAAGGAGATCGGTTTCACTTCTGAAGATGTGGGATTGGACTCGGAGAAGTGCAAGGCAAGCGGGTCGCTGCGTATGTTGGGTTCTAACCTCCAAAGGCATTATGGCATATGTTGGGATTATTTTATTATGTTTGAGCTTTCGTTGAATGGTGTCATGCGGCGCAGGTTCTGGTTCACATCGAGGAGCAGTCACCAGATATTGGCCAGGGCGTCCACGGCATGGGCACTAAATCTTTGGAGGAGATCGGCGCGGGTGACCAGGGTCACATGTTTGGCTACGCCACGGATGAGACGCCTGAGCTGATGCCACTGACCCATGTCCTTGCGACGCAGCTTGGATACAAGTTGACGGAGGTTCGTAAGAACGGTGTATGTCCGTGGCTGCGGCCTGATGGCAAGACACAAGTAAGTTTGTATTGCCAGCCGTCGTCTGAGTCTTGTCCATGAAAGTAATACTTGGCGCTTTGCATTTGGTATTCATAGGTGACTGTCGAGTACAAGCGCGAAGGGGGTGCAATGGTACCCCAGCGCGTCCACACCATCTTGATTTCAACGCAGCACAACCCAGACGTGACAAATGAGCAGATACGTGGCGATCTCATGGAGCATGTGATTAAGCCGGTCGTTCCTTCAAAGTATCTTGACGAAAAAACAATTTTCCATCTAAATCCTTCTGGTCGCTTCGTAATTGGTGGGCCGCATGGCGATGCCGGCCTTACCGGCCGCAAAATTATCATCGATACCTACGGTGGCTGGGGAGCCCATGGTGGTGGTGCCTTTTCTGGAAAGGACCCAACGAAGGTCGATCGGTCAGGTGCTTACATTGCTCGCCAAGCTGCGAAGTCTGTCGTTGCTTCGGGCCTGGCGCGCAGGTGGGTAGGGCTGGGACAGATCGCAGAAGGATGTATCGTAGGTTAAAATTAACCCTTTACCTCCCTATTGGGAAAGTGCTGCTTTGAAGGGTAGCTTCAACCATTTAAATCTTCTGATTGAATTGTTTCAATGTAAACATGTATTGTTGTGCTCAGGTGCTTGGTGCAAGTGTCCTACTCCATCGCTGTGGCGGAGCCGCTTTCAGTATTTGTGGACACTTACGGCACGGGAAAAAATTCAGATGCAGACATCTTAGCGCTAATCCGGAAGCATTTTGATTTTCGTCCCGGTAAGGACTTCGCGTACAGCCACCCAGTGTCCATACATTCCAAGATGAGGTGACCCCTACGATCTATTTCCGTAACTATCCTGGAATGATTCTTTCACTGTGCTGCAACAGGTCTCATTGGTATGCATCTGGACCTGAAGCGTGGCGGAAACAAGAGGTACCAGAAGACTGCTGCATATGGTCACTTTGGCCGTGATGATCCTGATTTCACCTGGGAAGTTGTCAAGAAGTTGGACTGAAGTGGTCAAGAAGTGACATCTTTCGTCTCGATGTATTATTAATTATTATCATGAATTTTAGGGTCCTCGGCGTGAGTTGGACATTTTGAAAGCGGAATGATCCTTGCAATTGTAACGTATTCGGAGAACGTTACGAAACGCGTAAGATGTCGTTGAACAAGGATACTGGAAAAATGAACATCGCTTTCAAGGACATCTATACAAAATTCATAACGTCTTAATCGCCTAAAGCGGAGTATGTAATGTATGATCCGTAATCATGCTATGATATGAAAGTAGCAGAGTAAAAGAAAACGTAATTCAGAAGTCCGTAAAGATTAGGGATTCGAGTTCGGGTACCGATCAGGCAGAAACTGGGATGCGGAAAGAGAGGACAAGATTAGGATGCAAAGTTGATGTCTGGTTTAGGATGAGAACCCGATTAGGGTTGGTCCCTCATCCACAGGATTAGGTTGAGAACCCCACTTGCATAATGAAAATAATACCCCATATCCAAGATTAGGATAAGTGCACTGGCATTGGATGCGTAGACTGAAAAAAATCGGATTAGTCTAATGTAGGACTCCCAGACCTTCCAAGTACCGAGACAGGGATAGAATGTTATCGTACAGGATTGTGTGGACAGTAGGTCCGTTTTCATAGAGTATAAACTGCATCTGGTAACTAAATGGTCCCAGTGGTCCGTAAATATAGCCTCCCTGCATCTTAGACATAAACATTCAAGTACGACTGTGCAGTAGGTGCACATTCTCTGGATGAAACCTTCTCTCATGGTAATTGATGAACAAAAGCATCAGCCTATGCAACTGGGGTACCCAATGCCTCCTTACAGCATGTCATCGTGGGCAGCGTCTTCACTGCCCATCACCATGGGTACACGAGGAAAGAGCATTGCATGTGCCCATGCATGCATTCATCCCTGATACACTCCCGAAATGGCTGAAAAGATTTGCGAACTTCTCAATATTGGGCCCCACCTAGACACCTACACTTCCGTGTGGATTCTGTACACAATGCCCAATTGAAGCTCTCCAGAGGCACTCATGGGTAAATGCCTGACAATCAGATGCACTCCTGTAGAAAACACAGTTACCAATCCAGCTCACCGTGAAACCAGCTGTAACCTATCCCTGCCTTTAGTGGTATAACAGCTTGCCTCACATTTCCTGCCTGATATTCATGCACAAATCTTACAAGAAACAGCCCCTGTTGGGCGTGGCTGTTCCTCAATCCGAACACTGGGTTAAGAAACATGTTCTCCTTCCATGCGTTGATTTCTGCCAGCCCCTCCATGCAGTCATTATAAAAGGGAATTGCATGGACACGTGTGTTTGCATGGTCCATGAACAAGGACATCACCCTTGACCCCTGGAGTGAACAGCTCGCGTGCAAGGCACACAAAGTCCAAAACAATATCGGGCATCTGTGCCTGTGCCTGTGCCTGTGCCTGTGCCTGTGCCTGTGCCTGTGCCTGTGCCTGTGCCTGTGCCTGTGCCTGTGCCTGTGCCTGTGCCTGTGCCTGTGCCTGTGCCTGTGCCTGTGCCTGTGCCTGTGCCTGTGCCTGTGCCTGTGCCTGTGCCTGTGCCTGTGCCTTTGGCTGTGGCGCTGTGTGTGTGGCTGTCTGCGTGTCTCTGTGCCTGTGTAGCTGTGTGTGTGTCTGTCTGTGTGTCTGTGTGTGTGGCCTGTGTGTGTGTCTCTGTGTGTGAACGGCCATCCACTCTTAGCCGTGTCCGCTAGGTTCAAGAGAGACAACCGTCTCTTCAACGGGTTATGAGCCCCGGCTTCCTGCCTCCCACGCCCTGACGAGCATAGCTCGCACAGCATCAGTACTGCTGCAACAAGTACAGCTCCCACCACGTTGACACTACCCAAGCTACCGGCCTGTATGGATGCAGGGGGCCCCCGCCCTTTTTCCGGCTTCAAGGAAGCCGACACCCGACTTGTTGTTCATCCCTTTTAGTGATGACTTTGGCTATCCTAAAGGGGACAACCCTTTAGGGGATAAACGCTCCCCTTCGGGGATGAACTAACGGGAATGATGTCATCCCCTAAAAGGTGACTGAAAGACGAAGCAGGCGAAGAAGTTACCCTATGTTTCCCCTTACGGATTTGCGGAGCAAACATACACACTATATTTGTAGCTCTTTTTAGTTTAGGTTAAGCTAGATTCCCGAAGGAGGGCTCCGTTACTGTACTACAACAACGGTGCGGAGCACCTCGCATGGATCATCATGGTCTTGTTCCACCGGCAGCACTGACAGATTGTGGGACAATGCACCTCAGAAAACATTAATACAGCCAGTCATTGCAATATGTCTGAACTTGGGCATTCCCAATAACCTAAGTCAAACATGTTCTCCAGGGTCAACATGTCCTCCAAGGAGACACCTGATGCCACGCCACTCTCCCCTGCCCCCTGACTGCTGCTGGGGCTGGGGCTGGCACCGCCAACCTGTCCACTGCAGGTGCTCGCCCACTGGTGCTGTCAGCCACAGCATCAGCCCCCGCAGCTGCAGCTGCAGCTGCAGCAGCTGGCTCTGCCCGCGCAGCAAGTGCCCGGACTATATGGTGACTCCCTGGGCTCACCCATAACTCAAAGTCCTAATCCAATGGTATGTCAGGTGGTTCAATGCGCCTGCGGAAGAGTGGAACCGCGAGCTCAACCTCCGGCCGTTACATGGGCACAGGTGAGTGTCATTCATGGTACTGTCACGACCCGTGTGATTTATCCCTGATCTCCGGACGGAAAACTTTCCCGACCCCCGAAGCTGCTGTCTCCCTCAGGCAAGGTGGTGCACCTGCGGACTCCTTTGGGTGTATCCCCTTAGAGACAGTCATTGAGCGGGTCCACATTGTCCGTGGCATGTTGCAGGAAAGCGAGGCTCCACTAGTGCAGAGGGGCCAGATGTAAGGATGAAGGGATCAATACACAGTTTGTTCTTAATATTTTAGTTGGCCCCCCTCCAGAGGAGCTGCTACCGGTGGTGCCCGATGACATTGCAGGGACAGGAAGGCTGAGGGAAGGCTCCGCCCATCACAGGCCAGTGCACAACTTGCTGCACTGTTGGCTGAGGAGGAGATAATTGCATGGGAATCGAAGACGACTCCTCACAGGGCAGCGTAGTGGAGGAGGACGCTCCGTCTTGCATACACACTCCATCAGCCCCTCGGCGGCATCAGCAAGTGCTGATGCCAGGGTGCACCCTCATCGCCCTCACCACCAACACCCAACACCTCCCCACACCCAAGGAGCTGTGACAGCAGCTGCTGTTGCTCCACGTAAGACTTCAAGAATGCCTCCCCATCCTTAACAAGAGGTGGCTGCAATTGCCACATATCATGTTTATACACAGACAGGTGGCTGGCAGATGTTAAGGCCTGACTTATGCTCCCGGAGGTTGCGGATTCAAATCCGCCTGCCGACCTCTTGGTGTGCGAGATGTGTTAATTGGGAGGTGGCTCTCCATCTTGTGCACGGTGTAGGACGTGATTATATCAACTTGCGAGCTGACCAGGAACTAAGTTGTGGCGCCGTTGATCCGCTAGATTTGTTTGGATGCTGGTGGTGAGTTGCTGAACCCACGGAATACATTTTTAAGTCGGATGGGGTGAATGGATTAGGGTGCCCCTCTAGCAGGGGAGAGCAGGGAACTGCCTCGGGAAAGGGGGCCGCTGGTGAAGTTATACCACCCTGTAATAACATCATACATACAGCTGCACATTTGCCTCCTTGAAATCGAACTGTGAATGGCAATCATGCCTGTACTTCTTATCCTTCAGGTGCTCCATGAAGTAATCCCTCAGAATCCCTCAGAACCTTGAACGCTGAAAAGGCCTCTTGAGATGCTAGTGGACGCACTTAGTGCGTAATTGTAGACGTTATGCGTGCCATGCTGTGTACCAGCTACTACAGAAGTACTCATCGAACAGCATGCCGGTCTTAGGATCATCGAAAGTGACGTATAGTGCTGCGTGGACCCACCTGAAAATGAGAGGCGACAGATAGGGAAAGCGTTTTGGTAATTACAGCCATATGGCAGGTGGCTAAAGCCGTACTACTAACAATGTACGGCAAGGCGCACCTATGATGCACCTATAAATTCGTCCATCTGCATGCCGATGAACGTGACAGCCTCGATACGTGATGCTTGCTCTGTTTCCAAGTGGTTGTGAATGCAAGCTGCCATACACCCAAGTACACGAGTATCATTGATCAGCGTGGTGATGTCCCATGTTTGGTACTTTAAGCCAGTCCATGTATTCACAGAACACTGGGAAGTGAGTGAAAGGCATGGCTTGGTGGAGGACCATGTACGCGCCACCAGACAGAGCCAACAAGGCATTGTCGGCAACCTCGGTCATGGCCAGGTGCTTGTTAGTTTGCTGATGATGACGATCCCGCACGTACTGGTCTACAGCCGCTTTGTGGGAGTGGAAGGCCTCGTGCCGGGTGTAAGCTGAGCGATACACCTGTTTTTTTTGTAAATACAAGAAGAGGAACGCCACCATTCCCACACGCATTGGGATCAATCCCAAAACTAGGGGGGCGGCTTTCCAAAGCCGACAAGTCGGGTGTCGGCTTCCTCGAAGCCGGAAAAAGGGCGGGGGCCCCCTGCATCCGTACAGGGCGGTAGCTAGGGTAGTGTCCACGTGGTGGGAGCTGTGCTTCTTGCAGCAGTGCTGATGCTGTGCGAGCTATGCTCGTCAGGGCGTGGGAGGCAGGAAGCCGGGGCTCATAACCCGTTGAAGAGACGGTGTCTCTCTGGAACCGAGCAGACACGGCTAAGAGTCATTGGCCGTTACACGTAGCCTGGAGGTCCGCGACCTGCCACCGACAGCCCAGAGGGTTGCAAAAACGGTCTAATCCCCCAATCCCGGGGGGTGGTAGTGGTCAGCCATCCCCCCATCCTGGCTGGGGTGACCGACTCCCATCTCCCATCTTAGGGGCCCGGTGCTAATCCCATCCCTTGAGACAGATTTCCCATCATGCCAGCCTGGGTCCCATCCCCAATCCTATGGCCAGGGTTTCCAATCCCACCCCATCCTCAACCCGCCAGCCAGGGTCCCTTCCCAATCCCTTCGACCAGGGCCATCCCCATCCTGCAGCTGTGTCCACAACCGAAAGCTGTCAGCCAGGGTCCCATGATGGGTTCGACACCCCGTACGGGGCCCGTAAGTTTTTGGCCTTTTTTCGGTATCCCCGTCAGGGCCCGTAGGACTTTTCGGTGGCTCCCGTAAGGATTTTGGGGCGCGAAGCGGCCCCGTACGGGGCCGCCCCCGGACCGGCCGAAGGCCGGTTACGGTGGCTCCCGTAAGGATTTTAAGGATTTATAAGAGGCCGTACGGGGCCCTGTAGGGGAGAGGACGGACCATATAAAGGATAAGGCCACACACTTGGCAGACATAATTCATATTGCAATATTTAACTACATTTTTCATAATACTTTTATAGCTTCTGGTCTGTAACATCCAGCGATGGCAGACAATGAGTCGTCAGGAGGTGACCAAGGGCCTCCTAATCCACCGCCCTCCAAGAAGCGCGAGAAAATAACGAAAATAACGATTTACAGGGCAAAAAAATGCAAAGCGTCACTTTCCACAGCGTTTCAGCCAAGGACAGTGCCCCCGTAAAGGTTTGCGGGGGTTACAGGGGCCCCCGTAAGGTTTTCGGCCGGTACAGGAGCCTGTTACGGAGGGGCCCCCTCCGTAAGGAAAATTTGGGAGGTACGGGGGAGCCCGCAAGTTTCAGGAAGGTCAGTGTCGAACCCTGGTCCCATCCCCATCCCTTGCCAGCTACAAACCTACTCCTTACGTTTACACAAGTGCTGTAATATCGGCTTTCTCTTTAGGCGTAAATCAGGGGAATTGACCAGGGTTATTTTCTATTTCCGCGCGGTATTTTTCTCTTGCTCTATGGCTTATTTCCTCTAGCGTCAAATTCCGCCCGGCTGTGTTCGTTCCGAAGCAGACTGAAGCGACAAACGCTCGTTGAAGCGGATCTCGACTGAGGAGGAACTCGCATCACAGAGGTCTACGTATCTAATTGCACACTGGCTGCTAGTGCAAATAGCGCGTCCTAAGGGGGGAAGGATTGTTATGTTCGATAGACGGCCACAACAACAAATTATAATGCTGTGCTTAGAATGGCAGAACATACAAGGGTGTTCTGTCAAAAAGTCCATGGCTGGGAACGTGCTGATGATGGCGAAGGAACGGGTGCACCATTGGTTCACCCATAGCATAGGTCTTCAGCTGCACAGTCCGGCGCCAACATTCCACGTTGGGTGCGCCAAAGCGCTACGACAAACAACCTGACAACATTACATTAAGCCAGGCATTCCAATTGGAATGCTTTTGAGTCTACTTGGACTTCTGAGCAAGAATTGCTCCTATGCACTAAGACATTTTGTCGCATGTGCAGAGTTACGTGGAGTTGTGCCACAACAAAACCATGAAGACTGCAAACTTTCTCAGAATTGTGCATACTGGCTTGGGAATGATGATGCGGCCAGCATGTTCGCGCCTTGCAACTCCAGCTCAGTTTGCATGAATATAACCAATAAACCATCACAGTACTAGAGAAGCAGTAATTTTGTTTGAGGAAGTACATGAAAGCGTAACAACTAACTCCAGGGTGGGCCTCACTTCGAGTCAGGACCCCCAAACCGGCTTGCTGTTGATAACGTCTTGTTGGTTTAGATGTGACGGAGCGAAGCGCCCGGAGCTTCTAAGGCTGGTTCTGTGGCACTGTCGTACAACTGGGTCGCAGTGGCGACTTAATTCTTGCTGCTCTCCTGGTGAAGTCATTCTGCCTTCACGCAGAAGAGCATACAGCCTTGTCCAACTAGTCAGCGTGACAGGCTGTACTTGGACCCCCAAACCGGCTTGCTGTTGATAACGTCTTGCATGTTGATACGCCTAATGCGGACTTGACCCCCAGTAGGGTCTGCAGATTGCATACAGATTACGTTCGGGTCTTAGTCAAAGTGTCCCAAGCTTCGTCTTGGAAGACGCCCACCTTGTTAAGCGCAAGCTAGTAACAGCCCGACGACCGTTTGTTATCTCTTCCAGAATGGCATCCGATGGTGCCCTGGATGTGGATGTGCATGGGCCGGACAAGGTAAGAACGGGGTTGGAGTGCGTCTGACTGAAGAACTGGCAGGGTGCACCAATGGTGCACTCTTCTCACATTTACACCAAGTCGCGTTCCATGCCTGTTCTATGCCCAATGGTGTTAACCTTCTGCAGAAGCGTCAAAAGCTGGCAAAATCGGCGGGGTTGGGCTTCGCCAGGGACATGGCCGAAGTCCTCGTGGAAACGCTTGGGATGGACCCCATCGGGCAATCGACCGATGCCGCCATCGCCAAAACATTGTCTGAAGAAGGCTTGGTGGACTTGGCGTCAGTGAAGACCGTGGCTGGCGGTAAGAACCACTTCAGCCTAAATTGGTTTCATCGCTTGCTGAACAGGACTGGACAGGACTGAACAGGACTGACCAACCACTACAGGGTATACTTTATCGACTCTTGCGCTCTTTGCAATGTGTCTTGTTTTAGGTCGATGCCTGTTGGAAAGTGCTCTTAGGTACACTCAGGCTTGACACTTCGGTAGTTTGATTAGTTGCCTTTATCCCAATACGACATCGAATCAGGATTGGCTACGGTATGGTTATATACTGCTTGCGTATCCATTCTCTCTCTCTCCTTGTGTAACGATATGAGCGAGTGACGTGTTCACTGAAGGACTCTTATCTCTAACAATGCCTACGCCCATACCAATGGAAGTCTGGGTCCCTGGCATGTAACCGACTTTGTGAGCCGCAGCCTGTGACGCCGACTCCATTCGGTTTTGTTTTGAACGAAAGGTGCAAACTTGCTGTTTTGTCACCGCCTGCTTTCTGTCTTCCTTGCTGGCACAGAGGTCGAAGTCAACGCACGGCTGGCGGATGCGGATTCCGAGGTGGCAATCAAGTCGCTGAGGACCCTCGCCCCGAACCTTAAAGCTCTCCAAGCCCTCAAGCTTGCAAAAGCAGCATGTGCGCCGTCTGCGCAGCCCGCTGACGAGTTGGGCGAGGATGCGTCACCACGGCTGGAGAAAAAGCGCAGTACTAATGAAGAGATGGCCAAGGCCGTGTGTTTGAGTTTGGTTTGCTATGGGACGCGACTTGCAAGCAGAACGTCCTTGCGTTTGAGTTTGGTTTGCTATGGGACGCGACTTGCAAGCAGAACGTCCTTGCGTTTGAGTTTGGTTTGCTATGGGACGCGACTTGCAAGCAGAACGTCCTTGTGTTTGAGTTCGGTTTGCTATGGGACGCGACTTGCAAGCAGAACGTCCTTGCGTTTGAGTTTGGTTTGCTATGGGACGCGACTTGCAAGCAGAACGTCCTTGCGTTTGAGTTTGGTTTGCTATGGGACGCGACTTGCAAGCAGAACGTCCTTGCGTTTGAGTTTGGTTTGCTATGGGACGCGACTTGCAAGCAGAACGTCCTTGCGTTTGAGTTCGGTTTGCTATGGGACGCGACTTGCAAGCAGAACGTCCTTGCGTTTGAGTTTGGTTTGCTATGGGACGCGACTTGCAAGCAGAACGTCCTTGTGTTTGAGTTCGGTTTGCTATGGGACGCGACTTGCAAGCAGAACGTCCTTGTGTTTGAGTTCGGTTTGCTATGGGACCCGACTTGCAAGCAGAACGTCCTTGTGTTTGAGTTCGGTTTGCTATGGGACGCGACTTGCAAGCAGAACGTCCATGTGTTTGAGTTCGGTTTGCTATGGGACGCGACTTGCAAGCAGAACGTCCTTGTGTTTGAGTTCGGTTTGCTATGGGACCCGACTTGCAAGCAGAACGTCCTTGTGTTTGAGTTCGGTTTGCTATGGGACGCGACTTGCAAGCAGAACGTCCTTGTGTTTGAGTTCGGTTTGCTATGGGACGCGACTTGCAAGCAGAACGTCCTTGTGTTTGAGTTCGGTTTGCTATGGGACGCGACTTGCAAGTGCATTCAACCCAGCACATGCATGCTTAGTTGAATGGTGAGATGCG